GCCTTCTGGGTGGCTAATGTTTTACCCCTCCACCGGGGTATTAGATGCTCTTCGAGTTAATTGAGAACTATTCGTGACATTGCCAACTGGTGTCGTAGGAAAACAAGATCTCGTCCAACCACGCTTTAGCAAGGCTCATCTCCATTCGGAAGCTTTCATTCTGTTGTCTGACCCTGTTGAGCCAGGCTGCATATGCACGTTCACCTCCAAGCCGCCGACTGCGAACACATACGCCCCGCCAAGATCTTCAAGCCGACTTGGAGATGCCGAATTGAGTCACAGTCGCCCGGAACACCTTGAAATTATCAATCCTCCCTGTGAAATCGAAACACCAGCTCGCGATTCTCTTTCCCATAGTCGATACTGCGCCGCTTCAAGTTCTGCATGAGGCCGTATCGCTCCCCAATCCGCACCAGTACTCTGACGACCCCTCTCAGCTGGTTAACCTCGTCGTTCCCACGTCGTGGATCCCTTCATCCCGGACAACGCCTTTGCACTCCCGCTAGTTATCCTACATCGTCTAGATACCTAGCAACCATGGTTCAGGTCACGCAACTCAAGATCGCCGTCTTGGACGACTACCAGGGCCTCTCGGAACCCCACTTCAGCAAACTGGATAAATCGTTGTTCAACGTCACCACTTTCAAGGACACCCTGCTGCCCTACAATCATCCCGAGACCCCTGAATACGCCAAGGATGCTTTGGTCTCGAGGCTGGAGCCTTTCGATGTTCTCTGTAATCATACCCCATTCCCATCCATAGAATGGCAGCAACTCCGTTATCTTCATGAGTTTATAACGCCGGCTAACATGAATAACAAGGTACCATGAGAGAACGCACTCCGTTTCCCAAAGATCTCATCGGAAGATTGCCCAACCTCAAGCTTCTTCTCTCCACGGGTCTACGTAACAAGGGCCTGGATCTCCCAGCCTTCAAAGACCGCGGCATCCCCGTCGCTGGCACTGTTGACAAGGCGGCAGTCAACCAGGCCGGCACGAACAGCACGACCCAGCACTGCGTGACGCTTATCCTTTCGCTAGCAAGGAACATTGCCGCCGATGACCTTGCTGTCAAGTCTGGCTTGTGGCAGACAGACGTTGCCATGGGCATGACAGGCAAGACCTTCGGTGTCGTTGGACTGGGCCGTCTCGGAGTCTCGACGGCAAAGATCATGCACTTGGCGTTTGGTATGAACGTCATTGCTTGGAGCACAAATCTGACACAGGAAGCTGCCGATGAGAAAGCCAAGGAGGAGGGCTTGCCCGTGGGCACTTTCAAGGCTGTCAGCCGTGAAGAGCTCTTCAGCACTGCTGACGTTCTCAGCGTTCACATTGTGCTGTCAGACCGATCTAGGGGACTCATCAATGCAGATGACCTCTCCAAGATGAAGAGGTCAGCATTGTTCATCAACACCTCTCGCGGCCCCCTCGTAGTCGAGAAGGATCTACTAGACGTGTTGAAGAAGGGCGGCATCAGGGGCTGTGCCTTGGACGTGTTCAACCTCGAGCCGTTGCCTGCGGACAGTGAGTGGCGGTCGACGAAATGGGGCCGCGATGGCCGTAGCAGGGTGCTTCTGACACCTCACATGGGTTACGTCGAGGAGAGTACTTTGAATGCGTGGTATGAGCAACAGGCGAATAACATCCGGAAGTGGCAGGCAGGCGATGCTCTTGATGATGTTCTGGCCTGAACGAGAAGTGTGTGGTAGTCGTCCCCGAGACAGAGATGAACAAGCCTCCATGAACAAAAGATGCAATAAATCACGATATTTCGACAAGCACTGAAATAGACAAAGGCATTTCGCAACCTGCTAAGGTCATGATATCTAGAAACATGATGCATGGTCACTCGATTCGGTTGATACTACTTACGAGTGAGAATCGAGTAAGACCTGCTGTTCTTATAATTTACCTCACAATTTCCGCAGGTTAATGCGATGACAAAGATGGCAGTTTATACATGTATTAGTATATTGAGTCAATCTCAGCCGCTTACTTAGTTTAGGCAATTCAGAACTGATCGCCATCTCATCGACATTACCCGTCAGTCCACCCCACGCATTGCAAACACTATCCTCTCCATAGACGTGCAATTGTATGAGTCGGGGCTTGGTTAATCCAATCAGAATGGCTATAGATCACAGAGAAGCCGATCCTACTTCGAGCCATGGAGGTCATCGGCGGCTCAGCGACGATTCGCCATCGGCTGTCTCAAGCATTATGATCTATCAACATGAGCTCCTGTATGCGCCTTGAAAGACCACAATGGAACCCAGGGCGCACGTGAACGCAAACTGAATCATCGACATGGCCTCAGGTGTCTGTCTCTAGATGTCTCAAAGAATCCCCTGGTGGCTTCAAAGCTTGAGCGATGATGTCCTCGAACCAATCAGGCCAGCTCCGTGCATATTTCTTTGGCACTGACTCCGCGTGAGTGGAGAAGACGGTATGTATTCCCGAGACCTCAGACAGGCCATCCAATGATCGACGCTCGTCGGAGAATTTTCGTATTCAATACGACGAACTGGTTAAAGGCTTGTTTTCTCTCAACCACAATAAAGCTAGGCTGTTCTGCTCATCTTTACTATATGCTTTTTAGTGACGGAATTACATCCCGTCGTCGGAACGCGAGACCGAGCTTACAACCTCTCGAAGACGCAGCACGCCCACAGGATGCGAATCGCGCCGACCCATGAGCACTGTCTCCAGCTTCAGCAACGCGACAGAAAGGTGCCCTGAACAGTCTCGGAAACATCTTTGCTATCATCTTTACATTATTTCTCTGAGTGAAGTACCGGGAAAAAACAAAACAGTTGAAACATCCACCGGTGACTATGGCAGGCGAAGACATCGACATTTGCTCGGGTTCCTCCTCGGCGACCACCCAGACCGGAGGCTGTTGCTGCGGCTCATGTCGCAAAAATAAGAGAAGATCGCACAAAAAGTCTAGGAATGGTTGCCAGAATTGCAAAAGACGCAAAGTCAAGGTCGGCTAAATTACATCCATCAGACCAACGTCACCCGAAAAACATGCCTCTGACTATCCATCAAGCTGTCCAGCTGACTTCCTCGCTTAACAGTGCGATGAGATACATCCCGAGTGCACCAACTGCGTGAGGTTTTCAATGAATTGCGACTATCTATCTGCATCCACAGAGGGGCAGACTTCCACATCCCCAGGGGACGACGAGCGTCAAGGAAAACGAATTCGACAGCACGAAGAAAGGAAGCCCGCCACAGACTTACCTACTCCGACGGCCTCTGATATGGAATCAGACTACGGTCAGACACCCTCAAGTCACATCGATCCCCTTTTGCGCAATACTTGTCTTCTCGATATCCAGAGCCTCGAACTCCTACACCACTACATGTGTCACACGTCCATAACCCTAGGAGACCCCCAAATCTTTAGGGATGTGGTTCCACCCCTTGGCTTCAAGTACGACTGCGTTATGCGAATGGTCCTATCAATCACTGCACGACACCTCTCCCGACTACGACCCGATCAAGCGGGGTACTATCACCGCCTGGCAGAAGACTATGCAGCAGCGGCATTTCCAGAAGTGGCGGCCATGCTCGCGCAGGTCAATGACGACAATTCGCAGGCCCTATACTACGCTACTGTCCTAATAAGCCTGTCATCTTTTGCTAGAGACCCATCCCCAGGGAATATCTTACTTGTCGCCGCCGAGGAGGACGAAGTATCATGGTGGGCGTTGATGAGGGGAGTGAGGATCGTGATCAGCACGACAGGATTAGAAAATATCAGAAAGGAGGCAACGGCCGCTCTGCTCTGTGGTAGTTCTATATGGAACGAACCAAAACTATCAGCTCTTAGCGTAAAATCGCTTGTACTGCAGTGGAAGAAGCCCCTGGCTGAGATCGAAGAGCTTGTGGACGAGGTGTATGCCGCCGAAGACAGCATTCATCGGCCTGCTTTTACCCACTTGAAAAAATGTTACCGGAAGCTATTCACTGAACCTCATGAGCCGAAAGTCGACAACGAGCAATTACCTTCCATTATTTACGGCTGGCTATATGAGCTGAGGGATGACTTTGTATTGTCTATAGAGAGAAGAGAACCTGTACCCCTGGTTCTGCTTGGGTACTATGCTGTTCTGCTGCAGCAATTGGAACATCATTGGTTCATGGACGGCTGGTCACTTCAGGTCATCAATGGCGTCTACGCGATACTTGAGGATAGTCACCGACATTTTCTTACTTGGCCATTGGAACAGGTTGGGTCCGTCTGGTCAGGATTATAAACCATTAATAAGTACATGTAAGGTAGTAGTGGAAAGGATCATCCGAGCATTCGTCATGGTTCTGTTTTCCACAATGGAACCCTTTGATAGAATTTCCTTTGCTTCCGGGCGCTACCCGACGAGACTATGGTCAGCTGCACGCCATGGCATGGAGACTCCATTGTTCGTTAAATGCATGGACGGGTTTCTACCGTTTACTTGGTCGCGACTTTCGCTCTCAAGGTAAAGGTGTCCCACGCAAGCAACTAGGCAGCCTTATTGATAACGGGCCAGCCCTTCTTGATTAAGCCAAGTCCAGTATTGTTGGTATTCTTGCTCTTGACTCTGATCACGTCACGACTCTGTCCGACTGACCGGTAAACTCTCGAGCCCGTGCCGCACTTCAATAACAGTGCCTTCAGGGATCTGCAGCGCCGGAAGAACCGAGTTGCGTTTGCCGTAGAAGACTCCCGGTCCAAGTGATTGGCCCGAAGTTCTTTAATCCTTGCCTGCAAAGCTTCACCGCTCAGTCCCCGCGGTGGATAGACGACGGGAATCTCAGTCAAAGCCAACTTCTCCAAGTGGCTGAGATGTTTGAGGACTGGAATGATGTCCTATAATGAACTATGAGCATTGAATTACAGGTGCCCGCAGACGACCATTCGCCTTGACGTAGGGAATGAACATAATTGGAAAACGCAGCAGGTACGAGGGGCAAAGGAAAACCTGACGGGAGGGGATAGTTGCGCGTCACGCTCACGAACTTACCGAGACTCTAGTGGACTTCAGCTCGCCATCAATGAGCAGGTACTTGATAGATGGAAAGAGCGTCACGACTTCCTCGAGATCATCACATCTCCAATGCGCCTTGTAGAGCTCAAGCGTTGTAAGACTTTTCAACTTTGGGGCGATAAGTCTGAGGCCGGCCGTGTGCATAGGCGAGCCGTTGATTTCCAGACTCAGGCAACGCAGGTTTGGAAATGTCTGAGGGATGAAGCTGGTGGTGATCGATGAAGGGTATGTCAAGACTCGGACGGATTGCAGGCATGCTTTCTGCTTGTCAAGCTCTGCCCGGAAGAAGGCGACCATGGACTTATTTCCACATTTGAAGGTAAGGTTAACTTCTTCCGGGGTGGTCTTGCGTAAAATCTTGACGAGAAGTGCTGCTGCTGCTCTTGAACATGGAATAATTGATGGGTCGTAGTCATTCCGCCACTTCGTGGGAGGCCACTCGGGGCCTTGGGTGCAAAGAGACAGGTGGCTTAGGAGACGTTAACATTGAGAGCCACGTCGTTCAGAGAGATTAGGCTGAATCAAGTGTAGAGAACGATTGGGCGTGAACTTACCGTATGGAACCCAGAATCAACGCGTTTCCCTCGATGGCTTGGAGTTGGGCGTGGATCTCGTCTTCATCCACCGTTCGACAAACAGTCTTGAAGAGGCCAGAGATGGTGAAAACGCGGAAGAGCTTGCAGACCCGTGACATTGCTCTGAGGCTGTTCCGATCTTCAAAGTAGACGCCTCTTCGACTTTTAGAAAGCTTGGAAAATTCGATGATCTCGATGATCAGCTCTAGAGGCAAGGTCATGAGGCTGGCGCTCGGGGAGGGAGTGGGAACGACCGCTTTGAATGCGGTATAGCCGCTACCTCTGGAAATATCCATCGTAGGAGTGGTTTCCTAGATGACTTTTGTCGATAGATAGCTTGAAGAAGTTGGAATCCGAATTTGATGGGCGAGTGGATGTTCGTCAGCTCAGGGAAGTGCCCAGGGAAAGAAATGAGCACCAAATGAGGAAGTAGCGAGGGCTGGCAATATAAGAGAATGTTGCAGATGGCTCAGGACAACAAGTGTATTAGGCCAATTTGAAGGAAGCTACGAGAAGGAGCGGCTCTTCGAACTTGAGGAAGAGTTGAGGCAGTTGTAGGAATTGGCCATCGTGGGAAGGTATTCAGGGCAAGTGGAAGCCGTATACTGGGAATAGTAGGCACATCACATCAATTACTTATCACAGCCTTCCAGCAAGGTAGGATCTCAGGCTGCCAAGGTTTGTTTTTCTCTGACTTGTCTTGGCCTGCCAGACCACCTCGGATGCCTTGGATGTTCTACCTCTCCCTGCTTTAATGAGGAGCAATAAAGAGAGGCAATTCACAAACACCCGCCGTTCTCTCTAGGCAGGCCATGAAAGCGACGAGAAGGGGACTGAACCAAAAAGTAACGAAGATTAGCCACGAGCTCAGAGATGCCACTTTCTCTGGAAACAAAGATCACAACCGACAAAAAACAGGGCCGATCACCAAGAGCAACTGAGAACCTTATTCTTTTTGCCAAATAAAACCCCATTTCAATTGAACGCCACAACTTGTGCACTTGTGCACTTCACTACCTAGCCCTTATGCCCTTGTACCACACAGCAAAATGTCGCCTCTAGTAGGCCAACTATTAGGTGCTTGGGCAGGGAAACAGATAAAGCAGGATGAATCGCAAATAACCTCAAAGTACCGGCCCAGAAAGACTTCCGGGCGTAAGCGTGGCCCCTTGGCCAAAAAGACATGGAGCTAGGGTCCTCAGACAACAGGCCAGGTGAATTTCTGCACGGCATTCGAGAATTTGACGTCGATGAGCTGTCCCTGCTTGTCTTTGACGGGAACAAAGCAATGTCCCTCGAAAGATCGGTCCATGATGTAGAGAACTTCCAAGTTGGGAATGTTCTGCCAGACTCTCCAAGCCTGGTCGTACCTCCGGGATCTAGCATCATGGAAACCGATGGCGGGGAGTAGCTTTTTGGCCATCGTCGAGGCCTGATAGTGAACCGGCAAGATCGCATCCAGAGGTGAGGAAGTCTGGCATCGCTCATCACTGAGCGCAAGGACCTTGAGGTTGGTCATAGGCGTCAGGTGTCCAGTTGCTAACTAATGTGCGAAACTAATTAGCAGGTTGTTCATGATGCCTGCAATGAGGAAGACAAAGAATGCAATAGTGACTTACCTGCAGATCCCATCTCGCCCGTGCCGGAGAACCTCCAAAGGCCATAGTTCCACCCATCGTCAAGCGAGATGTATGGGGGAATATTGCTTGGACCTCTTGGAAGTCACTGGCGTCCCATCGCATTTTGCAGATCTGGATATATGCAAGCTGGGGTCCAAGTATGTTTGCAAGGTCGCTCAGACCATCGATCGAGGACAGTGGTCTGTTCAAAGGCGCCTCAAAGCTGAAAGCTCTAAGATTCGGAAAGCCAGTCACGATGAAGCCGATGTCTGTCGTGACGGGGAAAGACAACGCAGTGACCAATGAGAGATCCCACTGAGGTGAATCCATGATCCGAGACAGCGGTCTGATGAGAGACACCGTTGCCTTGAATCGAAAGTCCAACCGGAGTTCCCGAAGATTATACAATTTGCCGATGAGGAACATGAGGTCCGTCGGAGTTGACGGTCTGCAGGAGGCCACGGGGCCTTGGATCCGAACAAAGCGGCCGGGGGTTCGTGAGGTTGGCGGACCTTCTGTGTAGATGCTGAGTACTCTGAGAGGAAGTAATTGTCAGTCAACAGACCTGTGCCATGTGGGTAGAGTACCAGACATACTGTATGGAACGAACGATGAGTTTGTTCCGAAACACCCTCATCACATGATCGGCGAAGGCATCTTCGGCGCAGCTTATCTGGGCAACTCGGAAGATGATGGGAATGCTGAGGTTTCTCATGAGTCGGCCAGTGTTCGAGATCGGGACGAGAGAGATGTTGTTGTTGTCCATCTGGCGCAGAATTTCCAAGATGAGCTCTTGGGGCATCTGTTGGAGGGGGAATCCGCCGCGGCCGTCATCGGTAGGGGGCTGGCCAGGGAATTGGATAGGAGCGATGGCACTCATCTTGTCGCCGGGATGTGAATAGAATCAAAGGCGATTTCGTATGGAAGAAGTATTTGCAAGACTCGAAGTGCGAGGGGTGAGAATGAGGGTGAGATGGGAAAGTGAGGCAATCGCGTGTGAGCGCAGCGAATATTTCCGAGACTCAATGAAATTTGAGAAGGAGAAATACTAAAGTGAGCAAAAGTGAAAGGAAAAGTGACAGACGATCTCGCACGAGGGGATGTGTTTGCAAGACTCGATGGAAGTTGAGAGGAAGAAATTCCAAGGTGAGTGAGGGTGAAAAGGAATAGTGGCAGGCCAAAGTCGCGACTGAGGTGGAAGTTTTCAGAAAAGAGTAGGAAGGCGCACTCACCCGTGACCCGGTCGTACCTTCTATAGTAGGCGGTGTGAATTTATTTTATATAGATGCGTGTATTCAGTCATTCGCCTAATTAGTTTCATGATGCGGTATACACTCTGGATGTTGGACTCAGGACTCTAAAGACGGCAATAGTAGCCCCTTTGTTTCCTACTAGCCCTCGTCCCTTCCTTCTTCTTCGCCTTTCTTCTTTGTGCAAGGTTGATTTCATTCATCTTTAAGCTTTCTATCCAGGCTTCTTATAAGTATTGGTATCGGTCTACTTCCTGAAAAGTTGCTCATTTGAAGCAGGCAAACTTCCTTTCGAAACATAGGTAAAGGTAATATTGAGGCGTTGATCTCCTCCCAGGTATCTATACATTGCCTTCTTAATGCTTCAAATTCCATCCATGCTACAGATAAAATCTTGTCATTATCGAGGACTCAAGCATCGCCAGCCCTGGGCCCCGTCTATTGATACCCTCTCCTGAGGCAGCCTACCTTAGGTAGCCGACTCAGCCAAGCTACCAGTATCTTCAGGCCGGTCCTGTCGCTGCCAACTGGAGCAACCTGCCTACAGAACTACTCCTTAGTGTCGTCGCCTAAAACGCCAAAACGACTTTCGCACATCTTGTTATGGAAATAAACAACAAACGACTTTCTATTGATGAAGGCTACATGGAGAAACGCAGGAGGTGTCGTTCCAATCGCGGGATTCACCGCTTGAAGTTGAGTCACGACCGGACACTTATAGTGCCGGGCGAACTATACTCGCGATGATGACCCGATACGTTCCGACCACCTCAGGCAGAATAGCAGCGATGATTCTCGATTATAAATAGTTTAAGACACGCTTCAAGGTGCAAGGGGTTCACTATCATTTCTTCATCGTTGAATAAATACTGGGGTAGAAGTTCTTCACGATGGACCCTGCAAATTTGGGAGGTCAGAGAACCGTAGTCTTAGGACTGTATGACCATTTTATTCGAGCGGTCAACTTCATGGTAGGATTACTCCAGCAACCCACCAAAGAGATAAATACTGATTTGCAAACACCAGGCTCCGTATCCCTTCCTCTATCTCTTCCCCACTAGGAGGATCTCCCGGCACTTGTTCAATTCAAAACATACATGTACAGACACTACCATACTTCCACCTCGTGGAGTCCCAAAAACGCCTAGAAGCCGCGACAGTCTTTCACATCAACTGCTTTCCCTTGGCCTTTGGGCATGCTACATGGGAGCACAATCGGTTGTCTACTCCCGGCTAGAGTCACATTTGCCAAAAGTTGTTGCATCGACGCTCACCACAATTGCCTGTGCTCCTGTCCGGCTGTCCTGGACATATCTAGTCACGTCTGACGAGAATGAGAGGGATGGTGCCTCTATGACGTCTCTCTTCGCCATACGACGTGCCACATGGCAGCGCTTCATCGCTATAACGATCTTGTGCGACAACTTCAATCTTGTGGCGAGCTTATGCCTCAAGTTTTTGTTCGACGCTATCGCCCCGTTCCCATCTGACGAAGAGATACTCAGCGGCGAGGCTACGATTTGTGTCTCGTCTTGTCTGAAAGCCGCCGCCTTGACTCTTCCAACTGCGATGCTCCTATGGATTCCAGAAACAGTGATCTCCACCTATGCTGCTACTGCTGCACTTGACCAACATTCGGAAGTCGACAAAGGATGGTTGTATGGTGTCGTAGAGGACATTCGTATTGGAATCCACTCCATGAGTTCGCAACTCTGTCAAGACCTTGCCCAGGACTACTTGATCGGATCCGTCAGTGTTCTAGGGATTGCTTTCGCTCCGATGGTCGGATGGTTGCTGTTTCGGCGACCTGTATGATAACGTAACTTCATGTAAGAGGATGTTGTCTCGCGCCAGCAAAAGATGTAGTCTTAAATCCCACTCTCCTCAACCTTGCAACTACATCTGTCGCAAGTAGACAAGGTAGTGAGCCGACTTCAAAGTGATGTTCACCAACTGTCATGTTGTGCACGAACATGTACGGTTGTCTTGATTAAATGGCACTCGACTACATCTTACTCGGCATCCGCATGCCACCATCCAACCTCAACACCGTTCCGTTAAGCATGACATTCTCAATAGCATGCCGGGCTAGTGCCGCGAATTCCTCAGGTTTACCCGCACGTACGGGAAACTCCATAGAACGCTCGAGACTGGCGCGGACCTTGTCGGACATCATGGAAGTCATCCGTGACTCGAATAGACTTGGGGCGATGGTGACAACGCGGATGCCGAAGCGGGCAAGATCACGGGTCATGGGAAGCGTCATGGCCGCGACGGCACCTTTACTCGCGGCATAGGCAACCTGGCCCTTTTGGCCATCAAAGGCAGCAGAAGACGCGACCATGATGACGATGCCGCGCTCGCCGTCGGGCTTAGAGGGTTCGTTTTTTGCCATGAGAGCGAGTGCTTGGCGGGTTAGATCGATGGTGCCGCGCAGGTTGATGTTGAGGACGAAATCCCAAGCGTCCAGGCCGAATGGCTCGCCATGGCGGTCGAGAATCTGGCCCAAGTGTTAGACCTGCACAAGGCGGTAGTAGTCGACTCAGGGATGGAAGCATACAGATGACGGGTTTCCAACACCGGCTGCTGGGATGACGCCGCCTACAGGCTTTCCGGATTCCTTCACCCAGGCGGCGGTTCCCTGGACGGCGGCTTCGATGCTCTTGGTGTCCAGGACATCGCAAACAAAGAACTTTGCAGATGAGCCCAGCTTGGACACCAGCTCATTGCCGCTATCCTCATTCATGTCCAGAATAGCGACGTTACCTCCATTGTTGCATATGTCCTCCACGCAGGCCTGTCCCAGACCAGAGGCGCTGGGATGGGATGAAAGTTAGCGAGGTGGTCATTGGCATGTGATCAGGGAAGAAGGGCTAGTTGGACCATGGAGAGAAGCCTGTGAAGTGGTTGAGATGCAATGCTTACCCGCCAGAGATGATGAAAGTATGGCCTGAGATCTTCATGATGATGTTTGTCTTTGAAGAAGTATAAACCAAATCACATGCGTTGCAGTTGAGGGATGGATGTCAAAGGAGGTCAAATAGGACGGTGTCGATGTGAGAGCTTACAGCGGGTGCTCCACTAAAGCTCGGTAGTCCGGTGAGGGACAAAGTCAAGCCTCGGCAGCCGGTGTAGGCTCGGTGAGCAGAATGACCCCATTGATTGTGAGGTGGAGTGTGTCAAGCCACGATTGGCGGGGTCACCTGAGGCAGTACGTATCCTCAGGACTGGAACAGGAGTGCAGGACCAATGGGATTCAGTCTCGGACCGTCTGATAAGGCTCCGAGGCACGTACTCCAAGCAGCCACACCTCTGGCACGTGCGCTGTACGCGGGTGGGCTTGACGTTGGCGCTCGAGCCCCCATCCCATGTCGCAAACTCAGCGGAGCCCGGCGGAGGCCCGGCCCAGTTGTCTGGTGGTGGTGTGCCGTCATTGCAGCCCAGCACTGGACCTTTGGTGCTTTGCCAGCGCTCTTTACTGCACCAACCAACTACCTGAACGCAATCAGCGCCAGGCAAAGAACGCACCTCAGCGACGTCAATCTTCCTTTTCCCGTCCCTTGCCCAACTCGAAACAACAAACCCGATCTGACGCCTTTTTGTTGCTCGTTGCGACCTCAACGTCGCCGCCAGTCCCAGAGGCCGCCGATTCTTTTTTTGCTCCTTTTCTTCATGCCTAGCATTTTGTGCTTTTCGCGGATCGAAACTTGCGCTTGAGCGCGTTATCGGCCCAAACTAGAACTGTCACCGTCTTTTGCTTACAAACTGCACGACTATCCCTCCTCCTCCTCCTCCGCCATTCAGCTTCCCCCCGGGCCTTATCGCCGCTGCGCCGCTGTCGCCTGACTTTTCCGACCGATACACCCCATCGCGCTGCAGTACCTTACCTTACCTTACACATATTCCCCACCGCCACGATGACGAGACCGCGTCGTTCCAGCGCCGCGAGCGAGGAGAGCAACGGCACCGCCGGCGAACAGGTGAGGATCCACCTTAACGAACACCGATCCGATAACGACCGGTAACATGGGATGGGACAGCATACTGACGGAGTACGCAGGAGCTGGGTAGCATGTATGACTACCTGGCAAAGATTATCTTGCTGGGACCAAGCGGAACGGGCAAGTGAGTGGCATCAACACCCGAATGGGAGCACGCGACCAACTTCGGCCCGCGCACACAGCTGACACGGCGCTTCTTCGCGATCTCAGGTCCTGTCTGCTTCACCGCTTCGTCAAGAACGAGTGGAGGGTCCTGTCGTCACAGACTATCGGCGTTGAGTTTGCAAGCAAGATCATCAAAGTCGGCACCGGATCACGGCGGAAACGGATAAAGCTTCAGGTATGCCCTCAAAGCTATGCCCTCAAAGCTCTCAACAGTGCGATCGAGAAGGAAGGCGATGCTGATTAAAGGAACAACAGCTTTGGGATACGGCCGGCACCGAACGATTCCGCTCCGTTTCGCGATCATATTACCGAGGCGCCGCCGGGGCCATTCTCGTCTACGATGTGACAAATCACAGCAGCTTCCGCGGTCTACAGCCCTTCCTCAATGACGCGCGCGCACTAGCATCCCCGAATCTATCCTGCCTCTTAGTTGGCAACAAGCTCGATCTCGCGTCCGATCAACTTATCGATACAAGCCTTCCTCCGCCAACACCGAGCAGCGTCGGTTCCATGTCGTACTTTGCAAACGGCTCCGTCGGATCAACGGGGACAAGTCTGCCATCGCTCGGCACGCAGCAGAAGGCCACGGAGGCGCCGGAAGGGCGTGAAGTCAGTAATGCGGATGCGAACAGATGGGCAGGGACGGTCGGGATCCCGGTCGTGATGGAATCGAGCGCGTTCAACGGCGAAAATGTTGACGAAATCTTTGCGAGGCTCGCGAGAATGATCCTTACCAAGATCGAGTTGGGCGATATTGATCCGGACGACCCGATGAGTGGCATTCAATACGGCGATGGATACGGAGGAGGATGGAATGCGGGAGCCAGCGACGGCGCGAGCATCAAGAGTTCCATGACTGGCGCGACACTCGACGAAGCGGCAGGAGGTGTCCGCAGACGAAGAGGCCGACGAAACACGCGCAGCGGCGCAAATTGGGGGCTGAGAGACTGGGAAGAAGTCTTTACGTTGTCGAACCGACGAAGAGGGGGCAACTGCTGCTGAGGTGTTCTTGCCGTATGGTGGAAGAGAAGAGACGAAACTTGGATTCTTGCCGGTTGGTATTTTTGGGCGTGGAGTTTTGCGAGGAGTCTTTATTTTCCAAGGGATGGTCCATCACAGGGCCGGGATACTACGGGCTCGAGGGTCCGAGATTAGCGTTGTATCTGATTTTGCTTGACGAAGGAGCTACGTTCGCTTCACAGGTCGAAGATGGGGGAAGCTGGCGTTACGGGATAGATACCTCGTTCCCAGATCGGGGCTGGTCGCACACATACACGCTTCGCTTTCACAACTACATACGTTAATGACACCTTTTGGTATAAGCCGACAAGGCGGGTGCTTTTGGTATTGATGATGTGACTTTTGCGGGCGCCTGGGAGGAGTAGACTGATGAGAACATGGAACTGTTGGTATGATCTGATTTGAATTTGGATTTGGATTTGAAATCGAAAGGGTAGGTTGGACAGTCTTGCGACGGAGCTTTGGCTTCCTGGATCGTTGGCAAATGTACTATCTCGAGTCTGATATTGGCTATGAAGTGAAGTACATGATGAACGGCGGGAATGCATCCGTCCCACTGGAAGCCCACTTGGGAGATGTGATGCTTGAGGATGAGAAGGACGGCACAATTGAAAACTCGAAACGGCGAGCTGCAGAAATGCAATGCGTTTGTAACACGGCCGAGGAAGAGAGAGAGAGAGAGAGAGCTAGTGATTCGAAACCAAAGAAAACTCTTGCCGTATCGTAAAAACGAGGGAGACTGACAACGTGGAAGGTGGTCGTCATGAGGCTATCCTCGAGCCCTGAAGCATCGGAGAATGATGCAGCGGTTCCCACGGCCATTCCCAACAGAGAAGACGGAGGGCCTCCCTCCGCGAAGGAACCCCACCGAAGTGAGCAGGGGTCTTCAAGGTGGAATTGGGGGAAACTTTTGGATATTTGGGGTAAAGAGCCAGTTCTCCACTTCTTCGGTGGTGATTTATATCCCCGATGGTGAGACTTGACGATATTTATGGGAACTGGGACAAAGGCCTTCGAATAGGATGAGTTGCCGATTTGCCATGACGAGTTGTACCCAAGAGGATACCGGCGTGATGGGAACGGTCTCTTGCCAAGCGCATATGTACTGCGCCGTCAGTGGGCTTCTTGTCAGAACCAGCCCGGCCAAGGTACCTACCTAGGTGAGGAGCACCATTGCCATCACAGACTGTCTCATCTTAGTTGGACTCTCTCTTAGAAGAGAAGCACGAGGTAAAGGGCCACCTCACTCAGGACCCCTTAGTCTTGCAGCCATGTGCGTGGCTTCCTCCGAATGCAGCCCGCCGGCAGGTTGACTTTATCCAGCAAGGGATGTAACCACACCGTGGCAGCACACTTTAAGCAATGTTCCATTCCTAATCCTAGAGAACAGACAATCTTGTGCCCGTTGGAGAAAAAGAGGCGTCCCTCATTCTCCGCGCGTGCTTGGCTTGGACCAGAAGGGGAATACCGGTAAGTGAGGGCAGACAAGGTGGGAGGTGTGGGGGAGCTGGGTTCCAAGAAATCCAAGGAAAAAGGCCTATGGGGGAAAAGGTGCCCTGGATCATGGATCGGGCATGGAGGGAATGGAGATGCATCTCGGCGGATGTCGTCCCGTCGTTCGGACTGAGGCAAGTTGCACGAGGTTGGAGGAGACTCTCATCCCGGGATTTGGACATGTTGGTCGGAGTTCAGGGATATTTTGGCTTGAATAGCTCTGCGCCGTTCCCGAGGTGAGGCGAGCTATACGAACTGGAGGAAGCTCAATTACCTGACAAAGACCAAAAGCATGAGATGAGGTGAGATGAGAGGTGGTGAGGTGAGCCTAAGTGGAGAGAGCTCCCCGGTCTGGTATGAGTGAGGGTGGTGGTGCATGGATGAGATGGTGAAGAGTATATGAGGACGACACATCCTCCCCCAGCCTTCCACGCTTATGACAGTCATTTGGTTTGAAGATTCTTTGAGAGCTTCCACCATCAGCTACACAATCCCACTTACTCACCGCTGCTCCGCATCGTCGTGAGGTTGCGAACTGAGTGAAATTACTGTCTTGTCTCATTCAAACTCGACGTTCTCACAGTAAGATACCCAGCACCACGATCTGCCCCCCCCCCCCTCCCGGAGTACCTATCTCAAGGTACCCATCTACCCCGCCATCCTCCGCGGGGCATCTGCGCTCGGTGCGCTCATCCCCGACTTCATCGTCGTTCTTTGCGCGCGCCTACTAATATCCCGGGATTCTTCTCTTTTATCTTTGGTGAGATCCCACCCAGCTGCTCTTGCAATTGGCATCTCTGCACACCTTTATTGCATCCCTAGTTGTTTCCCCACGCAATGCGCGTTCATCCAGAGCTCATCCGTAGCTCGAGCACAGCTAACACCTCCAGCCACCGCCGCCCCCTCCAAACAATGGCATCACGAACCGTCATCCCGATCGACAAGAACTGGCAGTTCAAGCAGGCCGACAAAGAGGACAGCGAGCTCCTTGACGTCAGTCAGTTCCCAACAAACGTCCACCTCGACCTCATTCACCACAACGTCATCCCCGACCCCTTCATTGGCAAAAACGAGCTTGATGTCCAGTGGATTGGCGAGGTGCAATGGCTGTACAAGACCACGTTCGCCTCTGAGGCCATCCCCGAAGGCGCCAAGGCAATCTTGGCCTTTGACGGTCTCGACACCTTTGCTACCGTTGTGCTCAATGGCAAGACAATCCTAGAAACGGATAACATGTTTACACCAGAGCGTGTTGATGTCACATCCGTCCTGAAAAAGGATGGGGAGAACGAGCTTGAGATCACCTTTGACAGCGCATACCTACGGGGCTGGAAGCTGGTCGAGAAGTATCCTGATCACAAGTGGGGATGCTGGAACGGTGACAACTCCAGACTTGCAGTCCGGAAAGCTCAATACCACTGGGTACGTTCTCTAGTAACCGTTCGTTGTGAGGATGATTGTACTGACGCTACTAGGGCTGGGATTGGGGCCCGACTCTTCTGACATGCGGTCCTTGGAGGCCAATTAACCTCGAGGTTTACGAGTCACGCCTATCCGATCTTTACTTCGAGACCTCTGTGGACGACTCCCTCAAGAGCGCCAAAGTCGTCGCTCACGCCACGACAGAAGGAAAGGCCTCAAAGGTCCGCTTCGATGTGTCACTCGATGGCAAGTCGCTGGCCTCTGAGACGATCGATGCCAAAGCCGATGCGGATATCGCAGCAACCTTTCAGATACAAGACCCTGCGCTGTGGTTCCCAATTCGCTACGGCAAGCAGCCCTTGTACACCGTGACAGCCACCCTCCTTAGCGGCAGCGACGAGGTCGACACTCTGTCCAAGAAGATTGGTATTCGCAAAGTCGAGCTGGTGCAGAGACCCGTCAAGGAGCAACCGGGAACATCATTCTTCTTCCAAGTCAACAACGTCCCCATCTTCTGCGGTGGGAGCGACTGGATTCCTGCGGACAACTTTATCCCTCGCATCAGCAAGGAGAGGTACTACGACTGGATCCGCCTGCTGGCAGACGGCAACCAGTTCATGGTTCGTGTCTGGGGTGGTGGTATCTACGAGGAGCAGGAGTTCTATGATGCCTGCGACGAGTACGGCATCCTCGTGTGGCAAGACTTCATGTTCGGATGCGGTAACTACCCTACCTGGCCGGATCTTTTGAAGTCCATCGACAGAGAGGCGAGAGAAAACGTCAAGATGCTGCGTCACCACCCCTCTATCGTCATTTGGGCAGGCAACAACGAAGACTATCAGTACGCAGAAAGCGAAAATCTGACGTACGATTTCGCAAACAAGGACGCAGAGAGCTGGCTCAAGACTGACTTCCCTGCGCGATACATCTACGAAAAGATACTCGTTGATACGTGCAAAGACCTCATCCCCGACACCTACTACCATTTTGGCAGCCCTTGGAGTGGGGAGGACACCAGAGACCCCACGGTCGGCGATCTTCACCAGTGGAACGTCTGGCACGGTACACAAGAAAAGTACCAAAACTTCGACAAGCTCGTCGGCCGCTTCGTGTCAGAATTCGGCATGGAGGCATTCCCCTCGGTCAAGACCATTGATGCATACCTGCCCAAAGGCAAAGACGACCCGGATCGCTACCCTCAATCCTCGACTGTTGACTTCCACAACAAGGCCGACGGCCACGAGCGTCGCATTGCCTTGTACCTAGTCGAGAACTTCCGCTACGCGCCCGATCCTTTGGAGCACTTTGTCTACTGTACGCAGCTTATGCAGGCCGAATGTCTGGCCTCAGCCTACAGACTGTGGAAGAGGCAGTGGAAGGGTCCTGGCAGGGAATACTGTGGCGGAGCATTGGTGTGGCAGATCAATGATTGCTGGCCCGTGACTTCATGGGCCATCTGCGATTATTACCTCCGCCCGAAGCACGCTTACTTCACCGTAAAGCGCGAGATGGCGCCAATTTCCATTGGCATCACCCGCACGGAGCACAAGCACCCCAAGGACAAGTACACGCGCGTTGATATCGAAACCAAGACGCAGATTGAGATTTGGGGCTCGAACCTGCAACTGGAAGACCTGACCGTTGACTTGCTGGTCAAGGCGTGGGACATTGAGACCGGCGAGGAAACGTACTCTGAGACTGTTGACAAGGCCTTTGTCCTACCTGAGAACAGGTCAACGGAGATGGCCGCCTTTGAGGTCCCCGTGAGGCAAAAGGGCGACGAGGCCAAGACCGTCGTCGCAGCGTACCTGATTCAGAACGGCAAGCAGATTGCGCGGTACGTCAACTGGCCTGAGCCGCTCAAGTATCTGCACTTGCAGAAGCCCAAGAGCTTGAAGGCGACGCTTGCAGAGGGCGGTGATGTGGTGGAGATTAGTGCCGAGGTTCCCGTCAAGGGTGTCGCGTTGGAGGTTGAGGATGATGCTGTGGTATTCAGCGATAACTTGGTAGACATTGTCCCCGGTGAGGTTGTCAAGATTGGAGTCAAGGGTGCGACCAAGAATACAAAGATTGAAACGAGGTACCTGGGCATGCTCAACTGAATCAAAAGCACGGTTATTGAATCACCTTTGAATTGTTTTAAGAAAGCAGGATGTGATTCAAAGGCAATATAAAATCTTCTGGACTTCACTCCGTACTGTCAAACGGTGCAATAAATCGAAGGCTGTCTATGTCTACCGAGTCCAAGTTCACGGCCAGTGAGTCTATGGACTCTATTGAAGTAAAGGTAAGTTCCCGTATCCCTCGTCTCAAAATAATCATGCTCGCCATGTCTCGGCCCTGGTGGCAAGCAATCTGTCTACAAGGCCGCCAAGAAAAGTCCCTCTAGGCGAAGACCCTCAGTATCGGCGACTTCGGTATACACTCTCGGGCTATGGTAGGGGTGGTACGGGTACGGTCTTGCGTTGGTATTTAATGTCAGCAAGAAAAGTTTCCGTCACCTCGCATGATTGTGGGAAGGGAAATGGAGCTAAGTGCAACTCACCCGTATTCAGGCGTAAACGAAATCTGGTAATCGGCGCCGCGAGTCGCGCTGTGTTGAATGACTTTTGTCCAGAACCGCTCAAAGAACTCCCTCTCGGGCCTATAGATGGGATCTGAAGGGTCGGCGCACTGCGAGGCCTGCGTTGTGCCGATGCGGGCGTGGACGTGGTAGATCTATGGACTTTAGTATCGACATCCATCATCCACGCGCTAGAGTTACGGTAACTTCATTCGACTTACATGGGGAATGACCTTCTCGAGAATCTCCTGGTCTTCTACGGACTCATCCAGCAGACGCTCTGACACAACGACCCAGTGCGAGATATCGGCGGTTATGCGAAGACTGAAGCAGAGTTACCACTGTCAAAACAGATCTCAGTGCACATCGTTGAGAGCGACTACTCACTTTGGCACTCTTTCTAGGATGTACTTTGCCGCGTACGGGTTGAACATGGATCGGTTTCGGTGTGTCTCGTGCGTCACTCGCCCCGCGAACCCCAGTTCCTCGTCGATCTTGAATGTGCCTTGATAGAACTCGACGGACTGGTCTAGAGTCCAGATGTCGCTATTCCTCGAGTCTTAGTCCTCGTCCAGAATCAGCCGGTAACCTGGCAGAGGGAACGTACCTTCCAGACTGGGCGTTGACCTTCACAGGCTTGAGAACTTGGGCACGCTTGAGTTGCTTGCGATAGTGATCGAGGTGATCTTTTGGCGTCAGGCCGGGTGGCCTGGGACCCACGTACCCGGGCCATGAGGACATGATTCTAAAGCAGGGACGTTAGAGCAGGTGGGTTTTGGTGGTTAGGCGAAATCTTGAAGCTTACTGTGCGACAAGCTGGAAATCGAATTGGTCGAGAATGCGTCTCAGTTCGGGTAGTTGCTCGGCGGGGATGTCTCTGTAGTCGATCTCGACTCCGGCTGAATGGGATGGGTCAGCTCAGGGGGCCTTCACAAGTTACAGTAATGCGAATGCGGACTCACTGTAGCCCTTGGCCTTGAGATCGGGGAACAAAGCGATCCAGTTGGCGAAGTTGTCGCCTGGGGAAATGCCCCATAGCGTGCGGAATCGAGCGATGCTGGGCATGACGATGTTTTGAAGATTTTATGAGTTCTGGTCACGTCAAAGGAGCTTGAAGAAAGAAAGAAAGATCAAGAGCAAAAGCAAAGGTCCAGCTTCGAGAAAAGATTAGCCTAATAAGGCGGATGTGCAAGGGCGAGACGTCGCCTTTTAAAAGCTCGCACAATCCCTACAAAGACCCCTCCATAGTATAGATACCACGGCCCCAAGCTCCCCCACGATTCCACCCCGCGTCAGACTCGAGAGAGCTCTTATTCCATCTATAGCCGGCCAATGACCCGAAGCCAATTCGATGGGAAGGGCTTCAACGGTGGACCCCGAAACTGGACCGAAAGCGCCCGAGTCTTGCTTTCTTTCCGTTTGCTGTAGTTCAACATGGGGCCGTCGTTGTCGAAGAGGGATACACTCGGCGAACTTTTACTTGATATGGACAGTTGTCAAAGGAACGGCGCAATGGCATCATCCCGTCCGACTTGTGAACCCCGCGGATTGCAAGCCCCTCCCCCACTTGCCAAAAACGGCAATTTTCCCCTCGGAGTCTGGGGAACAATAGTGGATCATCCATCCGTTGTGTGAGCTTCAACTCAAGTCTCAAAATGCCTAAACCCCGTGAATTAGGAAAGGGAAAAGTACTGGAGGTGTTCTGGGTTGTTTCGAGTAAGACTCGCCTACATGTAGAATCCGTATTTATAAAGGCAGAGCGTGACATTTTGGTGTTCCTTGCCGCGCCAGTGTTAAGTCTGACTGAGTGTTAGTCAATACCTACCTAGCTTGAGGGCGCAAAACCAGTCTGTATACGATACTCAAGGTACGACAATGCTCCTGACCGTGTCCATTTTCTTGGACCGCAACATATTCCTCTGCCGAAACAACATCGGTTTCCATTGATGGGCATTGATCAAACCCTCGAACAGCTGAGCCTAGGCTATTTGAAGTAAGGTACTCAGCCCTATCGGCAGATCTTGATCCTCCTTGCCGGGTTGGATGCAACGTTGGTGACTGAACTAGGTAGACATGGCGATGAATTCTATTCGCTATCAAGTCATGATGAGCCCCTAGGAACGGGAAGAGGAAATCTTCGGCAGAAGTTCCGTGCCAATAGACCGGCTTTGAATTTCATGGGTTATCCTTTTACCCCGTCCACAGGTGTCTTCCTACCTGGCGAGAGTTACGTCTATTGAGCACGGCTAACACAGACAGAGACCCTGTCGTGGGGTCCATAGACTCTTGAGAGGTCGACTTCTTTCTACGATCAGCTCTCCTGGTTCTGGATCTCCATTGCAACATGCCAATCCAAATGCTCGAGAACATCTTCTGGCTGCACAGGCTCGTCACACTTAGGGCACAAGTATTGTTGTCCTTGCTCGTCTCTTGGGCCACCTTGAACGGCCCGTGCCGAGGTACTTGTAGTAGCCAATCTCCCCGATGCTGAGCATAATGCGTCGTTGGCTACATGCACTCTCTTGCTATCTGCATGCATGTTCGTCACATCTCCTTCTCGGTTTCGTTTCCGAGGAGAGGGAGAGGAATGTGAAGTAAAGAAGGATGTGATACGCTGCCCGGGGTCAGACGTAGGCACCCCGGATTCCAGATTCGACATGCTAACAGAGATACCCAAGCACGGCCAAGACTCCCCGTGGTCTGTAAGATCCTTGAGTAAGCCATGTAGCATGTTGAATATGGTCTCCCGGTTGATGTCGACGTGCGGTGGGATCGGCGCTTGCTTGGATCGTGTCGGGCCGAACCGACCCCGGATATGGTGTTGGACGGCAATAGTCCTGGGCCGTCGAGGCACCTCTGAATCAAGATCGAGATCGCGCAGCCGCGACTCAAGATCCGCAGCAAAGATTCGCAGCCATTTGCTGGCTTGTTGAAGGTTCTCGGCTTTGGGCACAAAGGTCTTTGCAGCCAGCAAAGACTGGACTTCACTCCGGGGCCTGACTGGGCCTGTCTCATCACCTCTGATCGCCCTGTACACCCATTGGCCATCTTGCGATCCCAACTCTGACCTCATCTCTGCAAGCGAGACCTGGAGGAGGTCGCGTATGCCATCGGACCCAAACGTCTTGACGACTTTTTGACCAAGCTGCCTTGCCAAGCCGGAGAGCGAAGTCACTTTGAGGGTCGGCATAATGGTGGGGATGCATTTGCGCCTGATGATTGTTTGGCCAAATGGCTTGTTCATTCGAGAAGCGACCTTGGCGAGCATCTTGTTATGGCTAATGCCGGCGGACGTGGTGAGTTCCAGTTCCGCCTTGATCTCTTTGCGGATATTGCGAATAATGCTAGCCCCAATGCTCAATACCACGTCGTCCCAATCGAGTATGTATTCTGGATCACGGGTATTGGGAAGATCCATCACCTTGTCCGACTTCCAGTTGAGCGACGTGTCCACCGGGGGCAATGGTAGCGTCTTTTCCGGGCTGTTGCTGAGCGATCCCAATCCAGGAAATCGCTCCGTCAGAATTTGGTAGACTTGAGCTGACAGGTCAACGTAGAACTCATCCACCCCGGCTCTCTCGATTGTAGGCGCAGGTGTGGCCGGAAGAATCCTTCGCACGAGCTTCATCGTCCTTCGTGACATGTCGCGATATGGATCTAGAGAGGCCTTATCTGTTGTCAAATTGTCCAGCACGTCAGCCCTGTACCTCCAGCAATCGTCGCCTTCCCTCCAAGTTGGGACGTGTTGAAGGACGATGTCTGGGCAGAGTCGACGGGCTTCCTCCACCGAAATAGTCCTCTTGAGCCCGCGGTCCTTTGCTGGATAATTCAACGCGATGATGGCGTTCCACTGGCGCACTGCGAGTGGCTTGGAAGGGGGCAGACCCAGCCTGACTGATTCATACTGAGCATAGAATGAGTCGTAATCGACGAGTGCAACAACTCGGAGAGGCGATTCTGGCGATGATTGTGCTAGGAGCTGCAGGTCCTGCTGGGTGAATTGCGATTCTGCGCTCGTCGGATCAGTCGGGAACGTGAAGCTATCATCGGACATGACTGTGGCGTGTTCAGCTCCGTAGAATCATGTCGTCGCTTATGTAAATGACCAAGGTGAGTGAAGATCGTTGAATTCAAACCCAAGGCAATCTCGGCACAAGAGCCAAAACTTGATTGCATTCCTTAAGATCGAGGTTGGCGATGTAGCTATCGAGTGCGCCATTGGAAGGAAATGTCTGGGGTCCTCACTAACAGGCATGGAGCACAGGATAGGGACTTTGTTGCAGTAGTGCTGTGACATTCTGTTAGAGTAATACCTTAGATCGCGGGTGATCGCATGCGATCGCTAACTAAATCGAACACCCAGGCTGTTTATGCGGAGCTGACGGACAATTACAGTGCCAAAAATGTCCGAGACTCGGTGGACAGCTGCCTGTGAGTCTGAAACCTAGACCACTTTGGGGGTTAGAGGTTCCCTAATGTCACGGGCTGATCTCAACTTCAAGCCGCTTGAACAGAGCTTCATTGTAGGATGTTGATTCAGAGCAAGACGCATATTTCAATCTTTGGAATGGGAAAATGGAAAGAAAGGGGGGAGTTAATGTTGCCTGATACTAGAGGGACTTCTTACATGCCTAACATAGTGTCGCTGTTCTCTAGGTGCCTGGAATGATCGTGTCATGAACACAGGACCCACCAATTTCACCTTCAAGTCTTGAAGCAACGCGATGTAGACGAGCTTCTGAAGACCAACGAAGACTTTCATTTTCAATTCAAACTTACATAGGTACGCGTTCTTGAGTTCAACTAGTCAATTTAATAAGTTGAATGATGAAAAAGAGCCCACGTGTCGCTAACAGACCTCTCCACCAAAACACCATAAACCACCCCACTTGACATCGTGAGAAATATCAAAACACCAAAAAGACATACAACACCAGGTATTCGCTGGTCGTCACCGACCCAACTACTAATCCGGCCCTCATTGGCTTGTCTATGGGAGAGCGGACGGGATCCCGAATTTTCCAATGGGTATGGTCGTATGTGATGGTTGAGCATCGTGAGGTTGCTCATGTTTGAAATGAGTGTCAACAGCATGGGTGGTCCTGCGTCTTAGAAGGTGCGAGACTTGGTCTAAGCCATTGCTAGTACCTGAGGATGAGATCACAAACAACCTCTTAGAATACAACCAGCTCTCCTAGGTAACAGACCTTCTCAGTGACGGCTAGATGGTACTCCGCGCATGCAGTGACTAGAACTTGCTGATAGTGGAGGTCAAGTGCTTGTAGGAGAGACCTTTGAAGAAGTCCATCCTGAGAGTGATAAGAGACGGAGAGATGTGCATCTCTAGTCATGAATAGTTCCATCTATTCAACTTATTGCTTCTACCTAAGTAGCCTTGGTTAGTTGTGCGGATTATTCATACAATCGCGTGATCCATGGATGTTGATGCCGACAGAGCACCTGCCTACTTAGCAGTTTGGCTATCTTGCGCAGGACCTCCCAGAAAGAATTGAGAACATTTTTTCAAGGGATTTGATGGATCTCCAACATTATTAATTCAAAGTCTGAGCTGTACTTGATAGCTACTTAACACATCGTCAATGTCACTTCTGCGTGTGTGGCTCAGATTGGTAGGGGTTGTTGGCGTGCTGACGACTTGCATTCTTAGTGCCGTAACTATTTTGGATAAAAATTAATCTTTGTGACTTCAGGAAATTCACATGTCTGTGGGAAAAGAGCCCCAAATCTCAATGTCAATCGTCTACTTGGGGGCCTTCTGCCTTGGCGCGGACTTGCGGACTTGCGGAGCAGAGGGGATGAATCATGAGACCCCCAACCGGTGACGAAGCAAGATGACAACACGGCACGAAGACTGCCCGTTAATGACCAACTGAAGAAAGTCATAACGTTACTCAATAACCTCCTATGCTCTTAAAGGCCGAACAAATCGCCATCTTTCCACAGCCATGTCGGTTGGCACAACTCCCACAGCCAGTAGCGCACGAGCAACAGTCGATCTAAACTATGGCATCCATCGTCGCAATAGCTGGAGGCACCGGCGATCTCGGTCGTACCATTGTCGAGGCTATTTTGGCAGACCGAAAGTTCTCAGTCGTCATCTTGAGCAGAGAGGTGCATATAATTCCCTCGATCTGATACGTCGCAGGTTTGCTTCGCCCACTGACCAAACCTCTAGGCGAATGACGACAGGGAGAAGGAAATCGGGGCTCGTATTCTGCCCGTTGATTATAGCAGTGCCGACGATATTGCTAGGGTCTTGGAAGAAAATAATGTGCATACGGTCATCTCCACCCTCAACAACATGGCTTCTGTAGAGCCAGAGTTGAACTTGATCGCTGCTGCCGATCAGGCCGCGGCCACAAAACGATATGTTCCCAGCATCTGGGGCGCCAAGTTCAGCAGAGAGTATGCCTTCATCTTTCATACTGCCTAAGGACACCAAGACTAATATACTCTTTCTCTCATAGGTACGCGGAGGAGATGCCAATCATTAAACCCAAGATTCTCATCATTGACGCACTTGAAAAGACCAGCTTGGAGTTCTCCGCCTGGTACACAGGATACTTCGCTGATTACTATGTTTGCCCGCCCCTGAAAAGCCATATCAAGAACATGGCCATGGTCGTGGACGTCGTCAACAACAAGGCAGGCATCCCGGGTTCTGGAGACGTGCCCGTGGCCATGACTTTCACAGCAGACTTGGCCAAGTTCGTCGCCGCAGCCCTGACCCTGCCAAAGTGGGAGCAGGAGGTGTATCTTGTTGGCGATAGGTTGGCGTGGAACCAGCTCGTCGAGCTCGCTGAAGCGGTCAAGGGTGTCAAGTTTGACGTAACTTACGATACGATTGAAACGCTGAGGACTGGAACAGTGACGAAACTGCCTCGCCATAGGTCACCGTATCCTTACATCTCAGACGAGCAGCTACAGCCCATGTTTGCCACTTTAGGCCTCATGTTCGAACGGGGGGTATTTGACGTGAAGGCCGAGACCTCAATCACGCGAAACTTTCCTGACCTCAAATTGAGGTCTATGAAGGAGCTTCTAGAAGAGGCTTACAAGCTCGAAGGTTGATTAGCATGTTGCTCCTAGGGATGGTGGGAAACTCGAAGGATTGTGTGAATACATGTCGAGAGGCAACTTCATTGGTCTTGATAGAGGTGATAGAGGAGAAACGTCTTTGGTTTAGCCAAGAAAGCTTTCACCATATTACCTATGCTTTGCAAGCTGCCCTCATGACTATCAGTGTGATGTTGGGTGAACGGTCCTGGAAATGCCCAAAATCCGTCACTTAGAGAGGCACATAACCTCCGCGGGGCGCACATGCAGGTGTCTTCAGCAACCCACATGAACCCATGTGCCATGGCATGACAGTGGTGCGTGAGGCAGATGCGGGCGATCTCGGAGCTTCAGATTGCGGGCTCGACAGGAAGCCGTTTCCCCAGATCGACAGATTCCCCTGCAGGCGTCCCAAGACGGGCAGCTGCCAGGCGGAAGGGCGTTCCGAGAGCCTAGAAGGTTCGGGTGGGACAGGAACATAAATATCGAGGCAACTCCCTTTCAAGCAGAGGCTGCGGAGCGCCGCTGTGCTGGTTAGAGATTCCAGCGAAACCGGCATCAAATCGACATTGGAATATTTGCGCATCGCAGCGCGATTCCCGACATACTCGCCGAACTGCCTGGCACCAAGCACATCACTGTGATCCGGTCGACCCCGAATTCCAACCTTCATACATACGGGCCTTTGCGATCGAGCCGACGGTAGACGAGCGAATCACCAGACCTGGAACGAGCCCGGAGTCAGTCAGCAAGAATCGTACCACAGGATTCGGACGTGCCCGACGCTCAGGAAAGAAGGGCTTCGCATTATATGAGGGAATGCTGGATACGGTGGAGAATGACAAAGTCGCAATCTAGCCCTCTTGGGGACTCCCTCAACAGAAAAAGGGAACGACGGGGACTCGAAAACCAACACGACGCATCAGCAAAAGTTTTCACGAGCACCTGACAGCCGCTCGGTCACAGACAACGTGATAAGAAAAACAATTTTCAAAATAATGGAGGTAAGGGAAAGGAGCGGTAAGTCTCAAACCGGCCGAGAGGTGAAGCAGCATGACCCAAGACGGGGAATACTGTGGTATGTCTCCCACTCTACCCCACCGCGCCCCCAGATCTTTCAGAGTCTTTGTTTAAACCCACTGGAACCCATCTATCGGATCCAATTCACATGTTCCCATTGGCGCGGATAAAGTGCTGGATAAATAGGCCACAGGACGCTAAAGTCGGGTACAAAGCCGCTGCGTTGCGCGCCTATGACACCTTGGGACAACTGTTCCACTGCGAATTTCGATGCTTGGGAGAAAGCCATCCGAGGACTCAACATTGTTGACTTTGGTCGATTGGAAAGAAGTCAACTGGTAATGAGCAGTCAACAACTCTGGTGCTCTTCCGGAAGCCCTCCTCAAGTCCACAACCACGGTCCCATCTCCCTACGAGATCTGCTCTTTTAGACCAGTTAGAGAGACTCTTTGGTCCATCATACCGCCAGATCCCAAGTTCTTACGAAACAAGCAGCAACATAGGAAAAGTTGAGAAGCTCCCTAGCAACCAAACCAAACCACCAAGCCAAGCCTCTCCCTCTCTTTTCTTTTTACCCCCACCCCGCACCGGCGATAGCTCTCCCCCATCCTAATAACTGGAGCACAGTCAGGGAAGAGTCTCGACCTCCATGGCAGGGAATAAGGGCGTATGAATACGGGTAATGACACGGGATAATCAAGAGCGTGGAGCTTCCCTCCAGCTCTAGGCTGGAACTGGGAAGTCTAGGAGTCTAAGACGCGCCGCAATGAGGGGCAGCCGTCAGTCGCACAGAACACCGCTGGGTTAGCAGTTGAGACGACGCGCGATCTTCGTCGTTTCTCATTCACGGCAGGGCACAGGCACAGCGCAGCTCGCTCACTCATCCTCCCAGAACATCCGTAACTTGGTCGCATTCCCCATCCTGATTGCGTCCCTCCACATTCCTTCAACCCCTCCAATCCTGACCCATCACACCGTTTCCTGCAGGCCGAGGACTGCGGTCATAGCTATTTAATCCATTGCGCGCCGGTCCACGATACCCGGAGCCTGACTTCTGCTCTCACTCTTCTCGCTCGCCCATCATCTAGCGTACTGATTGTCTCTACCTTTCTCCAACGATACCCTTTTTGCTCAGGAGACTGTGAACTTTGTGACGAACGCCCAGCCAAAAGTTAATCTTGTGCTTCTCTCGGTGGAACGAGCACCGACCAACTCCAAAAACCCATCCCTCACCGAATCCTCCCTCTTCCCGTAACCCCGCAATCCATTCATCATGGCCGGCACTGAGGGCAAAAGCGTATGTTCCCCTCCATCACGAAGGCCTCATTGCGCCTGGGGCTCGATCGACATCGTACTAACAAAGCGTAGAACCTCTCCTTCATCCTCAACAAGCCCCACGACGTTGAGTTCGCCGAGCGCCCCATCCCCAAGCTGTCCGACCCCCACGAAGTCCTTGTCGCCGTTAACTACACTGGTATCTGCGGCTCCGATGTCCACTACTGGGAGCATGGCGCCATCGGCCACTTCGTCGTCAAGGACCCCATGGTTCTCGGCCACGAGTCCGCCGGCACCGTCATCCAGGTCGGCGAGAACGTGAAGAACCTCGTAGTTGGCGACCGCATCGCCCTCGAGCCCGGCTACCCCTGCCGTCGATGCGGCGACTGCCTTGCCGGTCACTATAACCTGTGCCCTGACATGCGCTTCGCCGCGACTCCCCCCTACGACGGCACCCTGGCCGGTTTCTGGACTGCGCCCTCCGACTTCTGCTACAAGCTTCCCGATAACGTCTCGCTGCAAGAGGGAGCTCTGATTGAGCCGTTGGCCGTTGCCGTTCACATCACCAAGCAGGCCCAGATCACCCCCGGCGCCTCCGTTGTCGTCATGGGCGCCGGCCCTGTTGGTCTGCTCTGCGCCGCCGTCGCGAGGTCGTTCGGTGCCACCAAGGTCGTCAGCGTCGACATCGTCCAATCCAAGCTTGACTTCGCCAAGGACCTCGCCTCTACTCACACCTACCTCTCCCAGCGCATTTCCGCCGAGGAGAATGCCAAGGCTCTCATCAAGCAGTGCGACCTCGGCGCGGGAGCTGACTGTGTTATCGACGCCAGCGGTGCCGAGCCCTCTATCCAGACCAGCTTGCACGTTGTCAGGATGGGCGGCACCTACGTCCAGGGCGGTATGGGCAAGTCCGACATCAATTTTCCCATCATGGCTCTCTGCTTGAAGGAGGTTACTGCTCGCGGCAGCTTCCGCTACGGCCCTGGTGACTACAAGCTCGCCATTGACCTCGTTGCCAACGGCAGCGTAAACGTCAAGAAGCTCATTTCCGGCATTGTCGAGTTCAAGCAGGCAGAGGAGGCCTTCAAGAAGGTCAAGGAGGGTCAAGTGATCAAGATCCTCATCGCCGGCCCCAACGAGAAGGTCGATGGGACTTTCAGCACCGAGGTGGACCCCAAGAAGGCAGCCGAGAACGGCAACCAGGGTGGGTGCTGCTGAGCGATCGACGGAGATCTCTAAGGTTAAATATAAAAAGAAACCGATGACTGGCGAGCGGATGATAAAAAAAAAACAAGTTGGGCGTATTGGGTGGGTTTGCGATGTATTTCTCGGCGCATGCAGCATGTACGGGTTTTGATGAAGCGGGGTGAGGGTGGCACAATAATCTATGTTTGCATTGGATAAGTATGATCAACGAAAGATTCAATCACTTTTTGCACTTCATGGACTTATTCCCGCGTATCTCATGCCGGCTCCGGCTGTACTGGGAAGTTGACAAGATTGACCGACGTTGAGAAAGCTAGTCTGTTGTGCATACACCAGGCTGCCTCTACGTCTGCCTAGCATTGTCAGTTCGACATTTCAAGCATCATACGACAACCTGCGCCCTTTACGAATTAGTGTCAGTGTCTGAAACCCTCGCAACAAGGCAATGATCATCGGCCGGCAGACAGGACCCCAGCCAAGTTCAACTAAAGTTATCTTTTCGGGCATGGTTACATGTTAGCTCAATACCATCACCAACGCCCAACGGCCGCCAAAGTCCGAGTCTTTGCTATCGCGACAATTCCTCAGAGCCTTATTTCCTCCATTTCATTGAGCGGAGAGGAACTCGAAGAAGCACCCATTCACAGCCACGAGATAGACGAGCAACAGGCATGTAAACTGCGCAAAACTCCGCCCTCCCGTTCAGCTCAAGACGCCACGAAGCGCACTAGCAGCTTGAGCGTCACTCTCGTCCCCTGAACCGGTCTAGCCCGGACGCCTTGGGTCCCACAACCTCACCCGTTCCGCCCTCTCACCCCCGGTCAACGCGGAATCTCTAATGTCCCCCCATTTGAACCCTTGAACAAGCCTCAAGCCGGGCAACTCAACCTCAGACATGGTCTACCTGACTACCTACGGACACGGATTCACAGTAAAGTGACTAACACCAGCAGCCACCACCACCAGTGAGAACAAACGTTCGCGCCCACGACTCACCACAAAACCCGTGCCGACCACCCGCATTACCGCAGCCCTGCCAAGGCAAGCGATGTTAACCTTGCAGAGGAGCTGAACCACTGAACAAGCACTCAACCGCACTAGCATCTCGACTCATGGCTACTCACGGCCGTTTCTAGCTTGAATAGCATCCACAATTAGGCTTTCTTCGTTTCTATACACCCGTCTGGGAAACAAGCCTTTCGCAGCCCCTGTTATTCTGTTGTACGGCTTGTATGGGAGCCTCATGCAAGTCTACCGCTAGACTGAAGCCTCTTCTCGGCGCGCTGGCTCACGACAAGAACCCTGCATCACGATAGACGCCATCAGGCACATGTGGCACGCCCAAAGAGCACAAAAAGAATGAAGGCTGAAAGACGGAACGCTCTGGTTGGCTGTGTGAGGGATGGGGGAGATGTAGGCGACGATGTCGGCCGCCCCCTCCCTTGACTCGTCCTTGTCACATTCTATCCGAGTCTCACTCCATAAGTATACCTGCATCCTGCCCATCTCCACCATGGCGCTCTTGGTTCTTCTGTCTTTGGTTCCCTACGATCTCTCAATACGACACCTTCTTCTCACTCACGCGAGGGCTGCTGAGACTGTCGAGTCGACAAACGACGTGAACAACTCGTCTTGCTATACAACCTTGTCCATCAACTCTGGGATACCATGGAGAATACCCAACATCAACAGCCTCAAATGCACCCTCAAGCACAGCCTCAACCCCAGGTTCAGCATCAACCACAACAGTATACTCACCATGCTTCAACCAGCCCACCGCCAGCCATGATCATGACCCCGGCATGGATGGTTGCCATCCGCGGCGTGCAGTTCTTCCTCGCCATCGTCATCCTTGGCTTGTCGGCAGCCATCATTCACTGGGTATACATGGACGAACTCGGCCTCGCTGTTGCTATTGTACGTCCTTCCACGCATTCATGACTGGTCTTACAGGTAGTACTCAACATTCATGCACTAACATGCCTGATCAGCCTCTCTTCACGTGGATCATCGTACTTTACACCGTCCTCTCCGAAAAGATTTCTTCTCTCCGCAACCTCTACCATACCTACGCCGTCCTCGCTCTGGATCTGTTCCTTGTCATCCTCTGGCTCGCTACGATGGCTGCCTGTGCCGCCCGTCGCGCTACCTTCACCGTTGATGTAACAGCTTCCTGCACCTCAGATGGCTCCGCTGTGAACTCGGGAAGCTGCACCATCTTCAAGCGATACATCGTCATGGGCCAGGGCGCATTGGCCATGTTTTCTGCTATTGCAGGACTGTCTGCCCTTCAGTTCATCCTCTTCTTGGTAACCTTCATTTGGACTCTTGTTCAGTTCCTGCGCTGGAGAAAGACCAACGCACCTGCCGCTGCTGCAAGCGCCAGTCAGGGTGAGATTCAGATGGAGTCCAAGCAGCCGTTCCTTGCGCAGCAGACTGCGTACCAGCAGCCGCAGAACGGCCAGGTGCCCCAGCAGCAGCAACAGCAACAATTCTACCCACCTCAGTCCTACACGCCTCAACCGCAGGCTCCTCCTCAACAATACCAGCAGCAGCCACCGCAGCAGTACCAGGAGATGCCGAACCAGCAACAACAGTACCAGCAGGCTCCTCTGGCCCAGAACTACACTCAGCCGCCGCAAGACTACCAGCAACATCAGCAGCAGTACCCTCCTCAATCATATACCCCTTCGCCTGTCAACGGCACAGTTTCACCGACAAATTCTCCGCCCCCTCAAGGGCAAACTTACACCTATCCCCCGCAGGAGCTTCGGTAGACATCAGTTACGAGGCACGAAGAGACGGCGATGACCTGACACTCGGGTGAGTGGTCTAAGTCTAAACTGTTTGTCGCATGATGACGTTTCGCATGGGTTTGTTGATTGATGTAATGGTTTGTTATATCGGATTGGGGAGTTGGTACCAGGATGAATATGACGCTGAAGTGGTGGTTGAAAGTTCCTTCCTCTGATTTGAATGATACCTTGGACCGAGTGTTTTAATACAATTATTTTATGACAGCATTTTAAATGACAAAGACGCCTGCCGGTTCATGTTCCTGTGTAGCTTGCCATACCATCTCCGCCGCCCTAAATCGATCTGTGTACAAGAGGAGCCTCCACCCCTCTTTGAACGCACACTCCCTTAGGCTCGTGTCGCCCCTATCCCCATGTGTTCTGCCAAACTCGGAAGTCCTCGACTGCATCTGACACTTCCACTAAGTAAAGCTTAATTGCGGGAATAAAATGATGAGATCGAATCAAGCCAGGTGCATTCTCTAAGCTTCGGCAGCTTGTGATATGATAGAAGGGCATGTCATATTCCTGGTGAATAGTGGAGGGGGATGTTTCCCCTAGCAACATCAAGCTATACGAGGGCCGAGTTCATGCCTTCCATTGGTGCCCTTTATCATGCTTGCTAAACAATGAGCCCTCCTGTGAAGTTGGGAGCTCTTCCGGATTTCCAAATGCTTTATTTCACGCGCGATATCTGAGTAAGCGATTAATTCCTCATGTTTTCTGTTAGATCTGGTTGGCGCCCTAGTCAGGCAGTGAAATTAGAAGCAGGTAAGTGATTTCCCGTCACGGCCATCGCCGACTATGGTGGCATTTCCCAAGTTAAAGATACAGCGTTTACCACTTATACTCATCGTCACTACGAGGTTTAAGGGCTGGGCAATTTGCTTCGCGTCTCATTTAGAGAAGTTCTACCACACTAAGAACACTAACTACAAGTTGAAAACTTCGGCACTTGTGATTATTGCTTGTACTTCTGTGACAGCGAATGAAGGCACTCTTGTGGGGATATGGAAAGAGCACCAAACCAGCCATGATATTGATGCAAAATGATAAGATATTCAATTGGCCCCATTTGTATACGAGAGTCGGCGTCTTTGTTGCCTAAAGAACGAGAAAGTTCCCTTAATTTGCTACTTAAGCTCTATCGCACTTCGTGTCAGGGGGTTTGAGTCGTGCGTAGGCAGAAGCTTTAATTCGCATATCACGGACTTATGCCAAGGGTAGAAGAAGCTGAGGCGGCACATCAAATTCCCGAACATAGCATACCATGTCTATTGTAGAATGGCTACCAAATACACCCCTTTAGTTCATTAGGTACTTAAATAAGTCTTAAGTCTCTTCAGGGTGGCAAATATCTCTGTCCGTATCCATCCTACTTATGACTGCTATCTCGTTGTTACAGGATATTCCAAGCTCATTTTCTCAATCGTCCATCATGCAAAAGTTTCTGATCTTACCTCTCCTATTCTCAACTGTCTCTTTGGCAACACCCCTGTTGTCACGAGATGGGCCGCAGGATTGGATCACAGGAGAGATTGCGTATGCTGCAGCCTACGATATTACCCTCCAGCCGAGTGATACGGGGATCGGCAAACGAGGCGTACTCTTGGCTCGCTACAACGATGGCGAAGGCCGTTACCTAGGTTCCGACGGCAACCACCGTTACGCCTCCGGTGTCAAGTGTTGGAACGATTATTTCGTTGTCGAACAGAACCTTTACAACGACCCCTGGCGCCAGGCCTCCAGCAAAGTTTACTGCACCAAGAGCCAGTCCTGCCAGGCAACTCAGGGTGTCAACAACCAGGTCTGCGAGACTACTTCCTTTGAGATTTCGGCTGGGATCACCGCAGAGTTTGTGACCGCCAGTATCAGCGTTGGCCACCAGACGCAGACTTGCAGCGGATCAACCTCATTGACTGCTTGTACCTGGAACGATCAAGGCTGCCATGTCATTTGGAGCCAACAGCAGATGTTAAGCCAGAAGGGATACCAAAGACGAAGGTGCGCAAGTGGTGATGGAGACTACACGGCATGGACTAAATTTTTGGAAAAGAAGGCTCCTACCGAGTTCAAGAATTACGGCTGTGGAAGCTCTTGCAATGATAGCTTCTGACTTGAGGTCCACTCTTCGACAATGCAATAGGTTGAGGCTGGTCATTTGCTCAACTATGTTCTCCTTGATTTGCTGTTGATGTCAATTACATGGACTTCCTCAAGTCTGGAGGATCAGGCTTGTCTAGTCAAGGGACTTGGTATTTTGGTACCTGAGCCAGAGTTAGTTCCGAAGCCGAAGACATGTTATCATATTCGATGACTGCGAAGACTTTATTTAGAGTATATTTCTTTCTACTGTACAATCTTTATACAATCAAGCACAAGCTCTATCTTCATAACTCTCTGCTTTCGGCTGGTAGCCCTCCTACAATTTCACATCGACTACGTAATCTTGGCCGATTTCGACCATGCGTATTTTATAGTAATTCGATTCCTTCAAAACAAGAAAATAGTACGCTTTTGTCGTTTGTTCAACGAGTGAACAAAACACCAGACGGGAAACTTGATACATCTATGCCCATCTGAGCAAAGTTTCACACCTGGGAAACCCTATCTGGTTCTAAGCCTTTAAGCATAATACAAAGTATAGATACTGATTTCCTTAGTAGGTATTTAAGTACCTCAGACTCGAATTCACGAAATGTTCAAAATGTTCACTAGCGTAAGTAAACGTCTATGCGAATTACTTGTACTCTACATACAGCCAAAGCGCCTATCCCGAAATCTTTAACCCGCGGAAAGAAAGCACACATGCCTGCAAAACTGCTAGGCAGATGACTGAACGAGTCGGACTTCTCAGCTCTGTACGATTCCCTAGCAGATTTGCTCCAATGGTTTCCAGGTCTTGGTTAATTTCCGAAGCCGAAACCGAGATCGAGTCAACTTTTGGACTGCGGTAATACTACCAGCAAACGAAGAGTCGACTGAGTTCGTTGTAATTCACTTTGCTGGGGTGTCTGGGTTCTCAATACGGGGCACTTCCGAGACCTAAGGTAATCTACCAAATTCCCAGTATGACAATTATTCTCAAAACAAGTCGTCAAATGCATGATGTATGCGTAGTGTACAAATTGTTGATGCAGTTGGGTGTTCCATTACATCTTCCCACTTTGAAACCCTGAGGATCAACCTAGGATTCCATGATATAGGCCCAGACATTGGTACCACAAGCTAAGATCTCATACATGGGCTGTCTGTCGAGCCCATCGGATCGCTTTGCGATGGTGATTCTATTTGGTTTCATACAGGGTGGTCAAGACAAGGCTTCCAAACTCCATAACCGCCTTCCATGCGGTATTCAGATTATTTGATCTCAAAGAGGAAGAGCTGGCATTGCGTTTGCCTCCGAAGTCTTGGGAAGAGACTATCCTCTATCGTTGAATAGCTGCGGATTTCTATGAAAATGACTCAAGAACTATGTTGATCGATGTATATAAAATTGATCTCCACGAATATTGGATCGAGTTGACTCTGCTCGCTTTCACCAGTATGGGTCCCGGCTTATTGTTTTCGAAAGCTTTTTAAAGTACTTTAGAAAGAAATTTTACTGAGAACTCTATATTCTCGAGCATTGCCAAGAAAACTTGTAGAAACAACATCAAAAAGTGAGATCGTGCTCCTTTCCGAAGAAAGACTATCAGACAAAAAGGCGGCTGACATCACAAAGTCATGATGGTTTCCGCCGTTATTTGCCAGTTGGCCTCTTATGCCGGCATCGCTACAGCTGCTGTCGGCTGCAAGGTCAAGGTTTTAATGTCAAAAAGGCTCTTATCGAAAGTGGCTGCGTCCCTTTCCAAGCCTCTGCGATCATCGAAGATCCCAACTATCGCAGAGGCTACACTGTCTATGCCACGAACAACCGCGGCTTGAGCTTGGAGGCCATGGCCTGCTTTGCTGATGAGTACACTCTCCGCGGTTGTTGAAGCATTTTCTGAACCATTCACCTACGTTAATGTCTACAATTTGGCTGAGACTCACACAGCTCGCCGATCCAGATAAAAGTTAGATCCAACAAAGTCGGCATGGAGGTGGTATGAGTCCTGAACATTGAACTCGATAATGGAGGATATCTTTTCAAAATGTTGATAGCAGTTCCAAGGAATGCCACGGCATCTTGGGGAACCCTCACAAGACTGTCTGCTAGCTGTCACACAGAACTTTTGTCCAGTCATGCTGTCCGGAACCCTGCCGGTACATAATGTGAGAGCCGACGCCTTACTGTACCATGAGATTCACAGAACTGCAGCGCAACCGCCTAGCCCAATATGTTGTCATTGTCTCTTTCAAATACCATCGCAGGCTGAAAATATTGTGTCAACAAGTTTCGATAACAACCGCTGAAAGATCCAAGTGTGGCTATAATACAAGTCAGCAACTCTGGGTTGATGAACTTCGACGAGCAGGACCAAGTTCGGCCAATGTCACCGCATCAAGCCTTCAGTACTATTATTCATCAGCAAATTTGGCGCAATGTTGGGTTCATTGCTCTTATTCATTGCTGTTGCTATTTTGGGAGCCTGATTTATTTGATGATATTATGTTTTCTTGTCATGCGAGCATTCGTCTCTTGTTATTCTCTTGGATTAACTCCCACTTCAAGTTTTAGAGCAACAAGTGATGAGTCTATCGTCGTGGGGCTTCTCTTTGGTGCGCGCTTGCAGGATTCATTGAGCATTTTCCTAGCGTCTATTTCGTTTCGCAGATACTGTGCACCGAGACTCGATTCCCAAAATCTAACAGTGACTGTCACGACCTATGGCTGCTTACATGTCGAATGTAGAGTGGCTTACAATGTAATCTCAGGTAGGGGAGTGTCATGGGATTTACCCGCGTGCTTTATTTCTTACTCGTGTTGGTTCCCGAGTCTCAAATCGGTGCTGCCTAGAATGACTTGGAACATGAAGCATTTCACATGAAAAACATTCAGGACGCGTAGAAAAAGAGTTCTTGTTGGATTTATCAAGACTGATACATTTTTGGTGGACATTACACATTAGATCGACAGCAACCATCAAATTCGACGACAAGAAAAGACAAAAGTGTAAGGAGAAGAGTCGCTACAGGAGAGTAGGGAGGAAGAAAAAACACGCCTCTTATCTAGAAGCCAAAGGGAGCGGCGCTTGCGTTGTTCGGGCAGCTGGTCACAAGCTGGTCTCCAACGAGAGACTGGGAATTTGAAACGACAACGTTACCGGCGGGGTTCGTGAGCGAGAAATTGAACAATCCGCATTGTTGCGCGTTGACGAATAAGATACGGATCGGGTAGTATTGACCAGCAGTTGCAGTAAACGTAAAAGTACCCGAACTGTTTGTATCGTAATAGTTGACATTTTTATCATAATTTGCATTACTGTAGCCAGTTTTGGCGACGCTCTTGCCCAGCCAGAGGTAGACGCTGTCGTCCACACCGCTGAAGCTGAAGATGTAGGTTCCAGATGTAGCGGGATGGAAATAGCCGATATGCTGCACAATGATGTAGTTGGATTGGCCCGAAGTAGTCGTACCGTAAAGACTTCGGGTTGCGGTAGCACAACTCTGCGACAGACCAATTGTCCTCGTCAAGCCCTCATTATCGGGGCTCTGCCCGCTAAGAACGGTTTGAATATTGAAGTAAGTTGTCTTCCAGTTGGCCTGTGAAGTTGCGTCTGAATTTTGGTATGGGATCTTGCCCGGTTCGCTGGCGGTGTTGGTCGGAGCTTGTGACAAGCCATAGTATGCCCATAGCAATCCCGGGGTGCAGCTTGGGCTCGGCGTCACATAAGTAACAATGGTGGTCGTACCAGCGGGGTTGGTCTGAGGAAGGGTCGTTACGCCAGTTTGCGATGCAGTTGAAGTCACGGTTGTCAGGGCACCAGTGATGGGAACGAATGAAACGACTGTAGTCGTGCCGGCGGGATCGGTTTGAGGTAAGGTCGTGACGCCCGTTCGGGTAGCGGAAGAGACAACCGTTGTGAGGGCGCCAGTAATGGGAACGAAAGTAAGGATCGTAGTTGTTCCAGCAGGGTCTGTCTGTGGTAGGGTTGTGACACCGGACTGAGTTGCGGAGGAGATAAGCGTTGTGAGGGCACCCGTGATAGGGGGCACGAAACTGAGAATTGTGGTAATGCCGGCTGGGTCAGTCTGGAGTAGCGTGGTTACGCCCGTCTGGGTTGCCGTTGATATAAGCGTTGTGAAGGCACCAGTCAGTGGCACAAAGCTGACAACAGTGGTAGTGCCGGTTGGGTCGGTCTGAGGCAACGTCGTAACACCCGTTTGAGCTGCCGATGAAATGACAGTGGTGATGAAACCTGTAGCTGGAGGAACGAAACTGACGACTGTCGTAATACCCGTTGGATCGGGTTGAGGAAGTGTAGTAATGCCCGTTTGAGTTGCCGTTGATACAACTGTTGTAAAGCCACCAGTAAGTGGCACAAAACTGACAACTGTGGTAATCCCGGTTGGGTCGGTTTGAGGTAGGGTCGTGACGCCGGACTGAGTTGCAGATGAAACGACTGTGGTGATGAAACCCGTGGCTGGAGGAACAAAACTAAGAACCGTGGTGATGCCCGTTGGATCGGTTTGAGGTAATGTAGTCACTTCGGTCTGAGTGGCGGTAGAGACCAGCGTGATGATGAAGCCAGTAGCTGGAGGAACAAAACTGACGACTGTGGTGATTCCAGTTGGATCAGTCTGGGGTAAGGTTATCACGCCTGTTTGAGTGCCAGTTAAAACCACCGTAGTAATAAGGCCAGTGGCAGGAGGAACAAAGCTAATGACCGTAGTGACGCCTGTTGGGTCGGGTTGAGGAAGTGTAGTCATTCCCGTTTGAGTCGCTGTTGATACAATCGTCGTAAGGAGTCCAGTTGCTGGAGGGACGAAACTGACTACCGTAGTCGTGCCAGCAGGGTCAGTCTGCGGCAAGGTAGTAACGCCAGTCTGCGTACCTGTCGACACTGAAGTCGTCAGGAACCCTGTCGCTGGTGGGACGAAAGTGATCACAGTTGTTGTTTCGGCAGGATCCGTCTGAGGCAAAGTAGTGACGCCCGTTTGCATGCCAGTCGAAGTCAAGGTCGTCAGGAGTCCCGTAGCTGGCGGAACGAAGGTAATTACAGTCGTTGTTCCAGCAGGATCTGTCTGAGGTAAAGTAGTGGCGCCCGTCTGGGTGCCCGTTGAAGTTAGGGTCGTAACGAGGCCAGTGGCTGGAGGGACGAAGGTGATCACAGTGGTTGTGCCGGCAGGATCTGTTTGAGGTAGAGTGGTGACTCCGGTCTGACTGGCGGCAGAAGTCAGAGTTCGGATGACACCGATGCGAGGCACGAATGTGATCACAGTAGGAGGTCCACCGGCTGTTCCGGGAGGAATAGTTGTCAGGCCTGTGGTGCTGCCTGTCGAGGTGAGAGTGACTAGGGGAGTCGTAGTAACGAATGTCACTACCGTAGGAGTGCCACCTGAAGGTCCGGGAGAAATAGTAGTTAGGCCAGTTGAACTTCCGGTTGAAGTGACAGTGATCGGTGCCGGGGGAGTCACAAATGTAACTATTGTTATCGAGACGGGGCCGTCGCCATCGCCGACAGAGTAGGGAAGCGTAGTTAGGCCGGTTGTGCTTGCTGTCGAAGTAATGAGAGTTAGTGCGTAAGGCGGGGCTCCGGTCACCGAGACGCCAGGGGTTGAAGGACTGGGCGGTGGAGGCGTATAGACCAGATTGCTCGTAATGGTTGATCCCGAGGGACCAGAGGTACTCAAAATGGTGGTCAATGTCACCGGTTCCGCGGTAACAAAGGTCACCACAGTAGCCGGTCCGCCGTCAGGGCCTGGCGGCAGCGTTGTGAGACCTGTGATCGTTGCTGTTGAAGTCACGGTGACAGGCGGAGTTCCAGTAACGAAGGTGACTACTGTTTGGGGGCCTCCACCTGGGACAACGGGAAGAGTTGTCAGGCCTGTAGTGGATGCCGATGAGGTTACTGTCACAGGGGCAAAGGTGATTAGAGTGGTTAATATAGTAGGCGATTCTCTTATACGTGTTGAAGTCGAAGTTCCAGTGACAAAGGTGATAACGGTAGGTGGACCTCCAGGACCCCCGGGAACTGTCGTAAGGCCGGTGGTAGCTGCGGTAGACGTGATCGTGACCGATGGTAAACTCGCTACATAGGTGATGACTGTGTTGGGGCCGCCGGGTCCTCCAGGAATAGTAGTCAAGCCTGTCGTACTGGCAGTCGCTGTGATCGTTACTGGTGCCGGGCCTGTGGCGAATGTGATAACCGTGGGCGGTCCGCCGTTGGGACCAGGAGGCAATGTTGTGAGACCCGTCGTGGTAGCGGTAGACGTGATAGTGACTGGTCGCGGGCTTGTGACGAATGTGATAATCGTATCAGGACCTCCGTGACCGCCAGGGATTGTTGTCAAGCCTGTCGTTGTGGCCGTTGACGTGAGGGTCACGGGTCCTGGGCCTGTAGCAAAAGTGATGACCGTGTTAGGTCCTCCGGGACCGCCAGAAATCGTTGTTAAGCCGGTTGTGGTAGCCGTAGAAGTAAGTGTCACGGGTGCTGGGCCCGTAGCAAAAGTGATAACGGTTGCTGGTCCTCCATTCGGCCCAGGAGCAATAGCTGTCAGCCCTGTGGTGCTTGCGGTTGAAGTGAGAGTGACCGTGGTGAGCTGCGGTAGGGTAGCGAATGTAATAATGGTTGGTGAGCCGCCGTTCGGACCAGCAGGAATAGTGATGAGACCAGTGGTGCTGGCAGTCGAAGTCAGGGTAACCGCGGGAGGTCCTGTTACGAAGGTGATAACTGTAGGAGGTCCACCATTCGAGCCTGGAGGGACAGTCGTAAGGCCCGTAGTACTGGCGGTTGAAGTAATCGTGACTGGAATGGGCGCAGTGGCCGTAGCAAAAGTGACGACAGTAGGAGGGCCGCCATTTGGACCCGGAGGGAATGTAGTTACCCCAGTCGTGCTTCCGAAAGACGTGAGGGTGATAGGAGGAGGACCGGTAGCAAACGTCACCACCGTTGGCGGACCGCCGTTAGGACCTGGAGAAAGAGTTGTGAGACCTGTAGTACTCGCAGTGGAAGTGAATGTAACTGGAATGGGTGCTGTAGTTGTAGCGAAAGTAACAACCGTGGGAGGGCCTCCACCGGGGCCCGGTGGTAACGTAGACAATCCGGTTGTGCTTCCGAATGATGTCAAGGTGACTGGAGGAGGGCCAGTGGCAAAAGTTACCACCGTTGGCGGACCGCCATTTGGACCAGGGGGAAGAGTTGTCAGCCCGGTGGTGCTGGCCGTAGACGTGATTGTGATTGGTACCGGCGCGGTTGTCGTAGCGTAGGTAACAACGGTAAGAGGGCCTCCACCCGGCCCCGGAGGAAATGTTCTTAGCCCAGTTGTGCTTCCAAAAGATGTCAGGGTAACTGGAGGAGGGCCGGTTGCAAAGGTAATGACGGTTGGGGGACCACCGTCTGGGCCCGGATAAAGGGTAGTAAGACCGGTCACGCTGCCAGTCGAGGTCAACGTAGCAGGCTGGGGCCCCGTGACGAATGTGACAACTGTAGGGGCTCCACCTTTTGGTCCAGGTGGAATGGTAGTGAGACCGGTAGTGCTTGACGTAGATGTTAAGGTGATAGGAGGTATAGCGGCCGGCGGATCGATAATGAAGGTAACTATCGTAGCAGGTCCCCCGTTAGGACCCAACGGGAGCGTTGTCAGGCCAGTAGTTGATGCAGTAGACGTGACGGTGACTGGAGGAGGCCCCGTTGCAAAGGTAATGACAGTTGGCGGACCACCGTTAGGCCCAGGGAGAAGAGTCGTTAGCCCCGTTGTGGATGCTTGTGATGTTATCGTCACTGGAGGTAAAGGCGTTGTAACAAAGGTCACCACAGTCAGCGGACCGCTATCGGGGCCAGGTGGGAAAGTACTCAGACCAGTGGTAGATGCGAATGATGTTATCGTCACCGTTCCTGGGGACCCTGGAGCGAAAGTGACCACAGTAAGAGGGTCTCCTTTAGGCCGCGGGGGAAGAGTTGTCAACCCACTAGTGAGGGCGGTAGAGGTGATTGTTGCTGTACTTCTGGGGCTGGGTAGCGAAGTAACGAACGTGACGACTGTGGAAGAACCTCCATTGGGGCCAGGGGGAATGGTTGTCAAACCGGTCGTAGAAGCAAGTGATGTAATCGTGACAGGACCAGATTGAGGGGTCACAAAGGTGACCACCGTTGGAGAACCCCCATTGGGACCGGGAGGAACGGTTGTGAGCCCAGTTGTCGCCGCGACTGATGTGAGGGTCCCTGGAGACGGCGGCGCAGTGACAAAAGTAATCACCGTTGGAGAACCTCCGTTGGGACCAGGAAAAACGGTCATGAGGCCAGTCGTAGAACCAAGCGATGTAATCGTGACTGGGCCTGACTGAGGAGTCAGGGAAGTGACCACCGTAGGGGAGCCGCCATTGGAACCGGGAGGGAAAGTAGTAATTCCAGTTGTCGATGCAATTGAAGTGAGGGTCACTGCAGATAGCGGTGTGGTGACAAAAGTAATCACGGTAGGGGGGCTTCCATCAGATCCGGGAATGGTGATCAGGCCAGTCGTCTTCGCCGACGAGGTCACTGTGACTGGACCTGTCACAAATGTGACCACCGCAGACGGGCCGCCATGTAGACCAGGGGGGACGGTTGTCAACCCGGGCTTGCTTGCGAGAAAAGTGACGGTGGGTAAAGAATTCCCAGGAGACTTAATATAGGTGACAATCGACGTTGGGTCTCCCAGGTTATTTGGTGGAATCGTCGTGGCCCCCGTCTGGGAGCCTGTCGATGTGATAACAACAACGCCAGGGTCTTTAGAAGTGGTAAAAGTTACCGTTGCCTTCGATATGATAGTTCCGCCTTTGACCACATCGGTGGTGGTCAGCCACTCAGTCCAGGTCCTGTTGATGTTAATTGGAAATGCCTATTTCGAATCTCTGAGAAATGCTAACCTAGTCCTCGTAGAAATCGCAACGTTTCCGGAACACTGGATCTCGAAAGGTTGGTACTCGACCACAACTTTGGCATCTGTTGGGCATGGAGGACTACTGCCCGCCGGGACGGCAGCAACCCTCGTCAAAAAGACGAAGGAAATCGGAATCTTCCACTTCATTTTGCCGTGTGACTGGCAAAGAAGCTTGAAAGATTCAGCCTGTTACTCCAACATTCTAGAATTTTCCAACCGTGAAGAAGAGTGAGTTTTTGAGGTGTTGGTGCCCTAATACCTTGACATGGAAGAGCCTCGACTGTATTTAAGCTTCGAGTGCTAGATATTCCCCAGTGGTCATCGCAATGTCGTTGAAGCTCATCCTACTTTGAAGAGCTCCAAAACCACGCGAGCCTTTGAGGACCCCCTACCATTTGGAGCCGGCAAGTTGACCGACTGAGTGACTTTGACACTATTACAAACCTGAACTACCTGTAATCAAACTTGTTGTCGTAGCCCCAAGAACATTGTCCCCGACATTTCCAACCACCTGCTTCAAACTTGATGCAGCAATAGTAAGCGACAAGATCGTCTGTTTGCGTCATGATATTATCTTCTGTAAGCAAATATCCTGTAATGCTTCTAGACTATGAAAGATATGGAGCAGTGGTACAAGTCGGTCACTGAGAAAAGAATACCGTCCAGGGGAGAATTAGTTCCGCTCGAGGTCGGAATATTGGATGAATCCAGTCTCGCCTCTTGCTCATCATGTTTCCCATAACCTGCATCCATCTTAGTTTGTCCATTCAAAAGAGCCTATGATCTGTTCTAAGAATATTTCGCTTCTGCATACAAACATAAAGAGAGACGGTTAGGCTGGGGCATGCCTTGACCAAGATATCATAGGTGTGGTGCACAAAATTACTCGAGCGCCACTTCGGCCGCTATAGAATTTGGCTTAGAATGAATTGACAGTTTGGGGCCGATTTGGGTCGTTTTCTTGTCGAGACTGCATTCCGATCTTGCGACCCGAGATCGGAAGAAGAGGGGGCAACAAACGGTAATGATTAAAGTGGGTGGAATGCATCCGGATATTCATCCGTCTGGGTGGTGGTGGCTGTGCTATTCGGTATGAACAAAACTAACACCCGAATATATAAGGTTTCTTAAGGAAAGACATTATTGATTCTCGGGCCAGATGTCATGCCGAGATTGATCAATATCGGCAAACAGACCTTTGTCCTGACTTAAGTTACATAGCGCCTGACTTAGTGACTTGCCTGACATAATGACTTGGCGGGCTAAGCCAGCTTCAGAAATCGGTTGGTTTCGTGTGGGAATACACAGGTACCGCATGGAGACTGAACTGAGACATTTCCCAGAACGCTAAACACCGCCCGACACTCGTACGGCTCTCTAAGGTGATGGTGTTCTGCCTAGATCCAGCCTCAGGCGCGTCAAAAGGGTCATATCTTGTGTTGTTCGGGGCTAAGAAGTCAACCTCTATCTTCCGGACCATTGAAACTGACGCTAGCTAGATGCATTTTGACAAAATCGTTTGGTATCAGACGGTAGGTCACTACATTCAGATCTCATTCTTCGATATGAACCTTCCCAGTCGACGCGACTTCCAATGTTTGAAGAAATTTCGGATGTCTGCAATTAGAATAGCTCCAAGACTACCTATACTTCAGTGAGAAATTTGAAAACCGAAAGTAGTCCTCAACTCTCGTCAAGTCTAAAGACTACTGGAAGATTAGTAAATGTAGCATCAAAAAGCTGCATTTGGTGCCAGCCAATGTGGTGCAACTTCTCAAAGCTACCCACATCGCATTGGAGAATAGTTGTGAGATATGTCCTAAAGCTGCGATCAGAACCTAACTTGTGTGGTGATCAGGGATGGGACTAATACTTTGCAGTCAGAAAGGCAAAAAGAGGTGTGCTTTCGTGTAGATACTTTTGCAGTTTTCAGAACCAAGTCAAGCGAGCCAAGGCGCACAAGCTACCAGCAGTGTTCCATCTATCCATTTCTTGAAGTAAGGTAGCTCTGAATAGGTCAAGGTACATCATTTTGAGTCAAGAGACCTGTTCCAACTATCTTACCTTGGACAAATACGATCCGCTCTAGGGTATTGCGCCATCCACCCAAAGCCAGCAGTTCTATGGCCAGCTCCCGCCAGACGATTTTGACACAAGTGCAAGTTTGAGAGTGTCAAGTATTCATGTCGAACCTATCATCCAAACCCTTCATTCTTCAGACGGTAAGCAGCGATCGCCAAGTTGATAGGTAAACTTGACAATTCCAGGAACTCAGGACTCAAGTAACCTCCCATCACTCTTGATAACACTAAGGTATTACATTCAAAGCATGACATACTCACTTGGTAATTAGCTCTTAGCAGACACCACTGGACCACGCATTAGTACCTAGGATTTATCTCCGCACTTTATGAGCTGGGCAGAGTCGAAGGGTGTCGTGGCTATCTACAAAACCCCCCTCAACTGCCCTCTTTTGGCAAGGCTTTGGTTGCCCTTGCCCCTCGACTCGATATTGAATACAACGAGTCATCATTGTCTTACCTCATCCTTCAGGCCCTTTTCACTACCGTCTCATCGTGCCATATCTTCGCCGAAATGAAAACTATGGCACTTGTAATCATTTCTCTTTGCGCATGTTCCGCAACAGCATTGACTACTGAGATCACAACATTGGAGACATCAACAGTCGACTGTTCAGTAAGCTGGAAGCTCTTATCAAAGTTCAGGAAACTCTGACCCAGAAAAGGTTTATGCCTTCCCAACAAGCCTTGAACCAGTACCGGGCAGTGGGCCCGTAATATCTTCTAGTATTGGTAGGTAAACCTTTCTCGTCTCAAGGATACTTCGTTGACGTATGATGTCTACCACAGTTACTACGTCGCTTGCAACTCCTGGTACCGCTGGTGGCCCCAGCAGCCCCCCTGTGTCAACCGGCGGTGCTGGCGGCGATTTGGGCGACGGTAGTGGTGGTGGTGGAAGAGGAGGAAGTGGAAGAGGAAGCGAAGGAGAAGGGTCTAACGGCAGCAATGGAGCTTCATCAACTTCCGGGCATACAGCTTCGGGCACAACAATCGTACAAGTCCCCACGGCAGGTGGCGAAGCCATCCGGCCTGGCGAGTGGGTGCTGTTTATGATCGGTTTGCTTATGGCCTTCTAGAGTCTGAACATCCATCTGAGAAAGAGGTTACCACTATTTTCAGCCCCAGTTTCCAGTCCCAATTTCCGAAGATTGCTATTAATCCAAGGCAAAGTTTATATGCGACTCAAAAGGGCGAGCCCGGTCAGAACATATGCCTGGAAACACGAACATTCTTTAGAGAAAGTTTTCCCTATCCGCAAAACATGAGTACTGGCCGATTGCCTCGGTATTCCTTGCTTTGTGGTAGCCATTGAGGCACAACATCTTGCTACGGTCAACGTTTTTATTGACTACAGACAATGCGTGTTACTCGAGGGCCACGTAAGAGACTCTCTGTTGTTACACGAAGCCCAGTTGGAACTTACATGGAGAAAAGGCTAGCCTAGATGGTACGTACTGCTTAATATCTAGGTAAAAACATAGGCCACAACAATCTCGAAAAGACCGAACTTTGATCGTCATGTGAGGCATTCGCGCGTAAATGAATTGCAAAATAATATAGAATATTGACTTGAACTTGTCAAGTCAAGTACCTTGCTCGCGAATAAAATTCAGTTGAGATTCATGAGTTCAAATCCTCGCTGCGGTGCTAAATTGAAAACTAATCATAAGTATTATTGCTTCAAAGACCTTGCTTACTTAGTTATTACGATAATGTTATGAAGAGACCTGAGTCTTCTGCGCCTCTCGGCCTAGTTCTTCCATCAAATCCGAAAACGATAATCCCATTCCCATCATCTTCCCCAAGTGGTCTCTCAAATTCGAGATTGCCTCTGTCGTAGCCTTGGCAACTCGCCTTTCATCATCACGTGCTGCCTTTTTCCGCCTGTCTATTGTTTTCCATGAGCCCGAAGCTTGAACTCCTCTCGAAATCAGCTTCCCGTCCTTCACTGTTCTGTTGACAAAAAGATATTTGCGATCTCGAGGAGGAGACAACTTGCTGGTCTCTGCCACTGAGCGGGATCGGTATCGATGACGAGTCGGCGGTGGCTTGGGATACACGTTCGTGCCACTGCGACTGGCATTTGACTCGTACTCCATCAGCGGGCGTGGGGACAAGTCCGACAGTTGGGAGACGTTGTCAACATTGATATTCGAGGATGTTGTGTAGTATTTGCCGGCCGGGTGATCGAAGATCGTCTCCGAGCTCAGCCGTGGGTCAGATCTATGCCTTCCGATGCCTGTAATGATCTGGGGGAGCCTTTCAGGTTGTTCGCAGGCATCGTGACGAATAGTGGTTTCGTACTCAGGCATGGATAAAACACGTGGCCGCGAGAAGTCGAGTCCATGTTCTTCAAGTCTCCTATTGTGGGGATGCAGCGGCGCCAGCAGATCTCGCTGCGAAGCGTCCCATTGTTGTAATTCGATGCCGGGTAACGGTAAAGCGCATGCCCAACTTCTGTTATCGTTCACCGAAGAGATATATGAACGGAAATCTGTTCCTTCATTTCATGTCAGTTCCTCATCTACATGTTGTGAACTCTGTCAATAACACAGGGAAGTCTGTCACTTACCATCTACATGGATGCTGCAGGCATCCTTGGGCGGGCCTTGCCAAGTCTCCATTGAGGCTGACGGTCTGAAAAGGCAGTCTGGTGCGCCAAGATAGTTTGGATGGAACATGGTTACCGCAATGCAAGGATGGAAGGGGTGAAAAGCAGTGGGCCGCGTGTTCGGTGAATGCAGGGGGGGTTCGATCTGAGAAGACATATCAGGCCCAAGGTTTCTTGCCTGAACTTATACCCAGAGGCGATCACCTACATCGTCGAAAACATAATGCCAAAGCAGTTATTGCTCAATTTTCAGGCTAGCGTCGAATTGCTTGGTTGGCATGGTACTTCACCCTCCCGTTAATCCATCCAATCGGATATTGCAGCGACTGAGTTGTATCCGTCGTGATCAAGATTCACACTGCCGGTGGGACGATCTGGTAGGCAATGGTCCCCGTCTTCCGTGTCCGGAATGGGCGGGAGGAGGGGGGGGGGGGGCTTTCCATAAACTTTGTTGTCAGTCCCAGAATGAAATTGACGATGAGGGGGCCACTTCCTGGAGCATCAACACAAGCTTCAACATATCCGGCAAATAAGGCAAACTCTACCATCGAGCTGAATCGAGCTGACATGGGGCCTTCACTTTACAGTTGGAACTAGCTTCGACCCCTGCATCTGATCATGGCAGGGCATGGTCCGATAGCATATTGGATGGTCCAGTATGCTAGACAGGCGACATATCAGCGGGACAAATGAGAGGGATTTGTCCGATCCCCCGTGGTTGTATGCTTGACGCCGTGTCTTCTTCTCCTTAGCTTATTGTCCACGGCACCTAAGGTAGCGTGCTTCCAGCGAGATGGTCGGGGGTGGGGGGGAGGAGGGGGTGGTGTCGGGGCGGGTTGACAGGATGGGCTTTGTGGGAATAGCTTCCCGATGCTGAAATCCCATGTTGTTGGCTGTCACACAATTCCACACGAAGTCTGAGCAAGTACTCGGTCCGGAGTGTCCTAGATAGAAATGGACAAAAAAGGTGTGGAATGGACATGGACGCCACGTCTAGGGGGGTTGTTCAGAGCCTTAGAACCTAAGGGAAGATCTATCCCTTAGCTCTCAACTCGGAAAGAATGCATCCCGTAGCACGCAACGCCAATGGCTCGTTTCTGCCGGCATCTGAAATGGGAAGCCTTTCGGATTAATTAGCTAGCACGCAAGGAGGTGCTAAGTTCTCATTTGAAGGTGAAGCCTTCCGGATGTCGGCTCCCAGGATCACATCATCCCAGCTGTATGCAAGTCCTCGTGTTCTCTCCCCAATAAGATATTAAGCTAGATCCACCGGTATTCACCGTCTTTCAAAAAAAAAAATTGAAGCAGGCCGTATGCGACATGAATACACCGGATTGACAAGATGAACGTTGCAGTCAGGAAAAGTCACAATGGCCTATCATTCTGTCGATAAGCCGAGGGGAGAATGCAATGGCACCATCTCAACGCACGCAACTATCGCGACCGTCGTCGTGTTTATCGCCCTAACTTGACAACTGCCAAGCTGAAAATGTGCCTGGAAGTCTAAATACATTTAGTGTAATTCTCAAATCTGGCACGATCGTCCTGAGAATCTGGGGTCTCGATCAACACTACGGTAATCAATCATGAGTCGAATTCTCCGTAGCGTACGAGTCAAACTCCGGGGATCTGGATTCAAATAAAGACAACATTCTGGCGTTGAACTAAAAGCTGACTTCAATTCGAGGCACACAGACTAATAATTGCACTATTCGGTGTGGCGGTTCGTAACGATAAATCTTTGCGCAGGCCCCAACCACATCCGATCTCACAGATGTGTACCGACATTGAGAGACACTAAGATTATGGACGATGAAGTTCTGCACCATCGAAATGTGCAGAAACGCCTCCAATCTTATCGTTGGCATCATTATGGCACCCCTCCGCGCCTCTTCATACTGTCTCGATCCAATTCCAAGGATGACGGCTGCTTGACGTACCCTTGCCCCAAAGAATAAGTACTAATGCAGATCGCAGTGCGGGCGCTTCCGTGGCCGCATTATAAAGGCAATGTCCCTGTTACATGGAACCGCCAGGTACCTGAGTCTGTGACATCTTCTCGACGGTTGACCCTTGCTGGCAACTATGTACCTTGCTTGGTAGGGCTAGCATGTTACCCAAAGCGGCGGAGAGATCTGGTCCAAAAGCCGAAACATCAACGCCGCCATCTTGGGCTCTGCGCCGTCTGGTTCCTTGCTAGGCTTTGCATGTATTGTAGATTTGAGGCTTCGGTAGTCTTTTCCCGATAGCAGCAGGTCGAGACGGATCGCGCACACAGGCCCCCTTGCGGACAATGTCCATGGTTTCCCGGACCTGTTCGCTGCTAGCCTGCTGGGGCTTCATCGGATTCACTACGGCCAAGTTTTGGGCTGATAAGGGCTGCGGAACAATCCTCATCTGATGGTGTCAATGCTCTAAGATCGGCGCTTAGGACTAAATTTCAGTGAGGATATTTCTGTGATTACACGAACGCTGGAATGCTAGAGCAAACAGGTGCCGGAATGTGGCATATCGGGATTTCACCCAGATCACAGCCTATCTCCGAGGTCTGAAGGGACCAGGAGAACCAGGAGGATTTACATACATGACCCCGTTGTGAAGCCTGGCGGCGCGGGGTGACGGATTAACAGACTGTGCGGGATCGATAGGCACGCGTGATTATCATCCAATCTAACTTGTTAAGACTTCGGTGAGATTATCACCATAGCGCTAAAATCTCGGTTTCGGTAATTGTGAAAAGAGCTCTATCAAAATTGGCCCGTGTTCGCTGTAAGTCGTAAGACGTAGTAAGACTTAATAACACCAAATCTCCCAAGACTGTATCTCGAGCCCTCAGCATTCAAATCGTTCAGTAAATCTATCCAGCTGGAAATAATTACTTCCAGCTACCAGCAGAAACCGATCTTTCGATGACACAGAACCTAATCTGTTTCTTGCTGTAGAATTCATCGAAAGGGGATGGGTCAATGGGAGGAGGTATGCAGCCGTATGCTTGTCTACCGAGCCTGCTCCACAGAGTGGTTTCCAATTGTCATAAGATATATGTGGCTGGGGTATTTCTTCTTTCCTTTCCGATGGGTGGGGCAGTGCTTCTGTCTCGTGTCATCTCCATCGAATCATAGTCGTTCTCAAGTTCGGGAACATGCCGCCTCATCGCGAGAATTTCACCGTCGCTGAGTAACATTGGGGAATACAGACATCCGACTTGGCGTTGGAACGCATTGCTAGCATATGGGCAAAACTCCAAGAATTTTCCTCAAGCTTTTGTGATCGTGGGACACCCATATCGGGCCGTGGTCGTTTCCTCCGACCTTCAATACTGTGCTCGCTAGAAGCCCGGAGACAGTTGAGGGCTTGCACTTTATCTCAGATACTCTTGATCTTCCGGAAAGGAATTCAGTCTTGTCACTATGTTTTTTTGAGTCCGACGTGTCTGCTCTAAGTCATCTATGGCTTGATTCCTGGACTGGGTAGGCTGGCAGTGAAGGCGAATCCACCATACTTCAGTCAGTTGTCATAACCTCGACCAATGCCTTATTGAGCTTGAAGTCACAGGGGCTTCCATGGTGCTCAAGAACTCCCATTAGTTTGAACCTTAATGTCTGAAAACATCATTCTGGTTATGATGCAAAAAGCGCTCCATACAGGTTTGCCATAAAACGCATCTCTGACAGAAACTTGAACTTCCAAAGGAAGCTTGATGAAGAGCAGATACTTTGGAGTTAGCATAGAGGCGGCAAGTCGGCGTTTGGAGCCCAAAGCAAACGCGAAGGCGCGAGATGGCAATAGCAAACTTACCAAGACGGCGTATAACTTAACCACGGAACGATCTTGAAGCAGATCCGCAACAGTCCGAACAAGGCAATGGCAGTATCTTCCTAGCGCGTTCAACGACCAAGCAGCGGGGATTGTTCCGCCGCTATTGCAGGTTGACTGATCCCATCTCGAGCGTGTCCCAAGAGACTCAACTACTTCTTCAAACGCTTCCAAGCTAGATATTCGTAAAAGACGAGCTCTCCTACTTACGCATATTTTGTGAAACAACTCAGCTGCGAATATCTTTGTGGTAACCGCAGAAGATGCACTCGTTTGCGTGTCGGCTAGATGCTGTCAACGTGACTTTTGTGCGTCCCAACAGGTCAGCCCTCCACAGCCTCAGTGGGAACCCCCTTCTTTTTATCTTTCGCCGCATCCGGAGACAGGGATATGAAAAGGAATGGCAGGTCAGCGGATATCACTGGGTTCTTTGAGTGCTCGGTGTGCAAACATGGTTTGCCGGCTGCTTCCCCCCAGGTGGCCCACCTGCCTGTTAGCCACCTGTTTCGCCCTAGCATGTCATCACCACCACTATTGCGCTACTCACGAGTCACACAGCCCTGAAAGAAGCAACAACCTCCTTTCCGAGACCCCGAACGTCGCGTTCCAGACCACGCTCTACCAACGTTGAGATTTCAGACATAGGGCCTTGTGCAACCTTCTGGATCTCTGGGCCCCTGGGACATGCTACCCGATTCCGACCGCCTGGAGATTGGGTCCGCGTTCTGTGGCCATGTATTACTGACGCAGCCACGTGAGCCCCAAATCGAACGGGGCCATTCATCGTGACTTTCCCCGAAGTCGGCGCTGTGACAGGTTCTATTCGCACGACTTTATTCGGTGCCACGAAGGAATAACTCGAAGGGATACTATGGGAGTGTACGTATCAAGCATATTGCACTATCAAAATAAGTCGAATGACAATGCTACGTTGTAAAGTCACCCAGATGAAATCGCCACCCTTCGACAGTCTTGCTCTTTTGATCATCTGAAGAGTCACTGGCATGTTAAGCGGCAAAAGAGTTATCACTCAACACGAAGATGATTTCTGGTTAGCCTCGAGCCCTTGACTCCGCGCAAGCTAGACCAAAACTTTTAGTCTGTTTCATAGCTTCCCACAGATGGGAAAGATTGTCGGATCAGGTCCCAAAGGCCGAGCCGACTCCCGGCAGGCAAAGCTGCCATGCTGGCGTGGGCTTCCAGCAATTTCGAGCCAACGCAACGGCATTGTACGATACCTGCTTTGGGGACCCAATTTGACCAGAGCGCGTCCAATTTCGTACGATGAAGTTGAGGCAGACTTGGGATGAGGGCTCCGCAAACACTCTTTTCTCATTAATGGAAGTTATGCAACATGCATCTAGACTAGTATGTGGATGCCCAGATTGCGACCTGCTAAGTTCATGACGTTTCGTCCCTAAGATACCTATCGGCTTCGGGTTAGGCGTAAGAGCGGTGGAAGGAAGCAACTCTACTCGTTGAGTTCACCAGACGCTGCTTCGGTGAGCTGAGCAGCAGAGTGATTTCGCCCGTTTTTGTGCATGAAACACAGAAAGAGCGCCATGCTATGCGTAGGACATGTTGGTATGTTTAGCGTAGCAAAGGGAGCGAAGGTAACGCAGCCCGTATCCGTAAGTGGACAAAACTGGGTGAGGGGAAGGAGGGGTGTCAAGTTAGAATTTGGATAGGAGCAAGACGCGCGCGAGTAGCAGTACGGCCGGTGGGATGTGTAGACAAGGCCTAGTACGAACGCGGCCCGGAGTCGTGGTCACCAACGCCCTTAGGTCCGAGGGATCGGCGCAGGGGTTCAAAAATATATATTCCATTGCTTTTCCGGCAGAAGTATCAACTCAACGGTCTTCTTTCTTGTCCGTGTCTCAACTGTCAGCCGTCATATGACCAAGGTACATGCATCATGAATAATGTTACACCATGAATTCCGCAAGGCGTCTGCGGCATGGAACACTGAGAGACACTTCGTGCTCAGTTGATTGTTTCCCAGGAAAGAAAACGAACGGTGAAACCACTAAGAGATTGTATTGTCTGCAGAGTCCTTCTGGAAATTGCCGAGGCATGTTACAGTGCCCCCTTCTTCCTCCCGACCAAAGTGACATGCCTGACCAGATTCAGCACAAATCATCAGTTAAGAGGCGACTAGCTTGAAATAAGAACAGTGCAAGGTATCCGGCTCGTTCCATCCAATTAGAGGTCGGCATCAGAAGCTACCAATGCAATTACAATGCAAGACTGAACAGATCATTCCACCATCATTCCTAATATTGAACCCCTGTTTTCCCTGAAGGACGGACATTACAATCCAAGTCCAAGAGACGCCAGAATCACGCAGCCAATGACCCCCATGACCACGAGCTCATCCCACTGAGCACCAAATGATCGAGACGCAGACGACGTAGTTACGGCAGGAGTCTTGCCAGAGCTCGAGGCGGTAGCAACAGGCGAATCCCCGCTGGAGCCTCCGGCAGGACTGACAGCAGATGATTGACCTCCGGGGGCGTGACTGGCTGGAGGCTGGGCCGAGGGGGGACTGCCACCAGATTGGGAGGCAGCAGGCTGGCCGACGGGACCGCTGCCTCCAGGGACCTGGCTGACGGTTTCCTGCGGAAGCTGAGTATTTGGCACCTCATGGTGCTGCGTCGATGCAGGAGGAAAACCTCCCCCAGCTGTGATTGGAGGAATGGCGCAGTTTGAGTTCTCGCAGAGAGAAATTGTCTGCGGCGGTAGTAGGAGAGTGTTGGTCACCATCGAGAGTGTAACGGACACTCCGCACACCTCAAGGAATGGATCGACAACAGGGGGCGCAGCGAGCGCAACGGGAATGAGAGGTAGAAAATGGTAAGACTTCATTTCGACAGTTATGATCAATAATGCCTGAACACAATGATGATGTACAAATGGCTGCCAAAATGGTTGACCGAAAAGCTCTGGCTTATCGGACGTGGGCATCTTTATATCCTCATGGTCAACTGTGATGTTGGATAGGTAGTGCCTCCATGTCTTTCCAGTGCACAGAAGGCTTGACTTACGAGAAAAACAGTGTGCCCGGAAGTGAGCCCGTAGAAACCAGCATCACTTCGTCAATGAGGGGGGCTTCTTTCTTGCTTTTTCCGCGTTTCTTGCTAGTGTGGATATTATGTGAGGCCACACTGCATGCAGACAGCGTTCAGGTGTCAAAACAGGCCAACGAGTAGAGTTTGCGACCTTCTCACTGGTAGTCTGTTCGCCTTGTATTTGCTTCACTTTCAGAACTCCTCTGTCAATTTCTGGTTCTGGATGACAGCCAGGGCGACTCCACTCAAGAAAGGGCCATGTAAGTAATCGTGAGATCCACAGCACAATGATTCTGTCGTATGATCGATGTTTGCAGGAGGCAAACTCAACTTACTAGATGCTTGGCCAACTATCGCAACATGGGCCAAGAAAATCTAGGGCCGCTTAACTGAACTATCGGCAAAGTTTGTCTGAACGTAAGCTCGAAGTAGCTGCCACCTAGAGCCAGATTTACGTCTCTTAGGTTCTAGTTGCAGGAATAGCTTCGCATTCAGCTCAGGAAGTAAATACGCAAGCAGAACTATTGGGCACTGCAGTCTAGAGATATTGACTGATAACCTGAATAAGTCTATTCTTCGCAACAAACTCACAGCAAACCGCATGCGATATACGAGGACTCTACGTCTACTTGGCAAGACTACCTGAGTTTCCTCACATGGATTTCCTCACATGGATGCATTTGATTAGCTATATTTTGGTCTGCATCTAGCACACATCTCGGGTTTTGTCCTTTTCCACGGCTGCATTCGCTCACCATGATCGAAGCGCAACTGAACTCCCGTCCCTCACAAACGCAATGGGCCATAGTCTGTTATCTCATCATGATGAATCGATATCTAGGACTTGCCTGAAGAAAGCTCTGTATGAAAACGATACGAGATCGAGTGGAGCGAATACGTGCTACCGTCTCGGCTTCCTGAGATACCTCTCTCCGCGGTGCTCGCCACGATGATGCTACCTATTTGCAGTTCAACCTTCAGGGGTTGAGCTGTTTCCGGGTCGAATCCGGGTCCCATTGAGGTTAGAAACGGAAACCACGGACTTTTACTCAGCTCGGGCAAGAAAGTTGACGAAGAGCTGTTTGCTCCTAGTCGTGTTCTAATAGTGTTGCTCCTTTCAGCATCTCGAAGTTGAAGAAAAATGTATTATAAGATCCTCTGATTTCTCTAGCACTGGTACCCTGATTAACTAACAAGCATCTCATCAATTGTCTCCTCCAAAGCTTCTTTAAAGATCTACCTCTGTGCCCAGCCATCGTCACATGCATCGAGCATCTCATACCAGGTGTCGATCAACATGAAACGAATTTCTGCCTTTGCCACTGCCACGAGCTTCGTGGCTCTTCTCCCATGGCCCGGCTTAGCAAGTGCCGACTGTCCAACCACTGGGCCTGGTGCGAGTCCTACGACCGTTCAGCCCATCGAGGTTGTCCACTGCATCCCGCTTCATCTCAGCACTTCGGTTTCTCTGAACACTACATTCACCATTATGGGCACTGCAGTCAAAGTTACTAATGCTCCTACATTGGTAACTTCTGACTTCTTGGCTACGACTACGGTCACCTACCTTTCTCCTGTGTAAGTACTCATCTTTGCATCAATTGAGTGTTGCTGACAAGTCATTTGAACGCTTTAGCAATACACAATCGCCTTACGCAGGTCCTTGCGTCACGGTCACAGCAGCACTTCCTCCCGGATCAAAGCCTTCTACCATTGTCATTCCCCCGCAAAGTGGACAGGCTTCCGGGACAAAGTACATCTGCTCATCGCTTGAGTCGAATCAACCTTGGCTGCCGGGCTCGAGTAATCCGACCGTCGGCGGAAAGATTCCATTCACAGGAAGCCTGACGACAATCACTGCTCCTTATGCCGGCTCGGTTATGACAACGCTGACGATTCCCCCTGCTGGAAGTGACCAGACAGGCACTGAGCTTGTCCTCAAGCCCACGCCCAATAACGGAGATGCTCCTTTCAACGGTCCCTGCACGACGTTAACAGTTCCTGGAGCCGGCACAGCATTGACAACTTTGACTGTGCCTCCATCGGGAACTGATCGAACTGGCACTCAGATTATTTTTCTTCCCTCCGCTACAGGAGGTTTGATAACCAGCACATCGACCGGCACCCAGCCAGGCCAGACAGGACTGCTCACTCTTCCTCCTGGAAAGCCCGGCGATCCGACTACCATCGTCACGATTGTCCCCCCCGGTGGGCCAGTAACCTCTACGTCAACAGGAACTCAACCGGGCCAGACAGGATTGGTTACCCTTACCCCTGGAAAGCCCGGCGACCCAACCACCATTGTCACAATTGTGCCCCCAGGAGGGTTGGTTACATCTACGTCGACTGGCACCCAGCCCGGTCAGACAGGATTATTCACTCTTCCTCCTGGGAAGCCTGGCGATCCGACTACCATCGTCACGGTTGTCCCCCCTGGTGGGCCGGTAATCTCTACATCAACAGGAACTAAGCCTGGCCAGACAGGACTGGTTACCCTTACCCCTGGAAAGCCCGGTGACTCGAGTACTATCGTCACAATTGTTCCACCGCCGTCAGGAGGACTGGTTACTTCTACGTCGATTGGCACCCAACCCGGCCAGACAGGACTACTTACCCTTCCTCCTGGAAAGCCCGGGGATCCAACCACAATCATCACGATTGTTCCACCTCCTTCAGGCGGATTAGTAACGTCTACGTCGACCGGAACCCAGCCAGGCCAGACTGGGCTGTTGACTCTTACGCCCGGCAAGCCTGGAGACCCAATCACTATCGTTACTATCGTACCTCCCTCCACAGGAGGATTAGTAACATCTACGTCGACTGGTACTCGCCCAGGTCAAACCGGATTACTGACTCTTACGCCCGGCAAGCCTGGAGATCCCACAACGGTCATTACCATTGTGCCGCCTCTTAGCGGCGGGCTGGTCACCTCGACTTCAACCGGCACTCAGCCAGGACAAACTGGCCTTCTTACACTGCCGCCTGGCCGCCCTGGCGACTCAACAACTGTCGTTACTATTGTTCCCCCTCCTACCGGTGGGCTGGTTACGGTAACTTCAACAGGAACCCAGCCTGGTCAAACTGGTCTTCTCACTCAGACGCCTGCTCGTCCTGGCGATCCGACGACTGTCGTCACTATTGTGCCCCCTCCTGTTGTTACTGGAGGACCAGTTACATCTACGTCAACTGGGACTCGGCCCGGACAAACTGGCCTTTTGACCCTCACTCCTAGTCGTCCCGGCGACCCAACTACGATCGTGACCATCGTTCCCCCTCCTACTGGCGGGCTAGTCACCTCAACCTCGACAGGAACTCAACCCGGCCAGACCGGTCTTTTGACACTGACGCCTGGTCGTCCTGGCGATCCGGCGACAGTCGTCACTATCGTACCCCCTTCTTCGGGCGGAGTAACGACTGTCACATCTACTGGCACTCAGACCGGTCTGACGACTCTAACACCCGGCCGACCCGGTGATCCAACTACTGTCGTCACTTTTGTGCCAAGTCCTACTGGCGGCATCGTCAAGGTCACTTCTACAGGTTCGACCACTGGACTCATTACTCAGACGCCTGGACGACCCGGTGATCCAACCACAGTCGTGACTCTTGTGACGCCTCCTGCCGGTGGATTGACCACTGTCACTTCCACAGGCTCGACAACTGGGTTGACTACTCTGACTCCTGGAAGGCTTGGAGACCCTACCACCATTTTGACCTTTGCTACGCCTCCCGCTGGCAGCATTGTCACGATCACTTCCACCGGCTCAACCACTGGACTCATTACTCAGACACCTGGACGACCCGGTGATCCAACCACAGTCATGACTCTTGTGACGCCTCCTGCCGGTGGATTGACCACTGTCACCTCCACAGGCTCGACAACTGGATTGACCACTTTGACGCCCGGACGGCCTGGAGATCCGACGACGGTCGTGACTATTGTTCCCTCTCCTCTCGGCAGTATCGTCACGGTTACTTCTACAAGATCAGCCACCGGCCTCACTACTCAGACACCCGGGCGCCCTGGTGATCCTACCACTGTTATAACTTTTGTTACGCCTCCTGCTGGGGGACTGATTACAGTTACCTCGACGGGATCGCAGACTGGTCTCATGACCCTGACGCCTGGAAGACCCGGAGATCCTACTACGGTAGTGACTATTGCGACTGGACCTCCTCCTGTGACCGTTACCTCGACAGGCTCGACCACTGGTTTGACTACCCTCACACCCGGAAGGCCTGGAGACCCTACTACAGTCGTCACCTTCGTTACTGGCCCGCCTTACGTCACGGTCACTTCAACAGGCTCATCGACTGGTCTAACCACTTTGACACCTGGAAGACCTGGAGATCCTACTACTGTAGTGACTATTGCGACTGGTCCTCCTCCTGTGACAGTCACATCGACAGCCTCGACCACTGGTCTGACCACGCTGACGCCCGGAAGGCCTGGAGACCCTACTACAGTCGTCACTTTCGTTACTGGTCCTCCTTATGTCACGGTCACGTCGACAGGCTCTTCAACTGATTTGACTACGCTTACACCTGGAAGCCCTGGAGATCCTACCACTGTTGTCACAATCGCAACTAGCCCGCCTCCCGTTACATTGACCTCTACTGGCACAACTACAGGCCTGACCACGATTCCAGGAGGTCCCGGAGGCCCAGCTACAGTTATTACGTTTGTTCCTCGAAAGGGATTTCTGGTTACGCTCACATCTACCGCGACCACAACTGGACTTACGACGATTATCCCAACCGATCCAGTTGACGGCACTACCAGCGTAATCACGTTCGTCACACCGCCAGCCCCGGTGACTCTTACATCTACGGGTAGTACAACGGGGCTCACCACGATTCCTCCTGGTCCTAGCGGAGGTCCTCCAACTGTTATCACATTTGCGACTTCTACAGCAAGCCCTATTCCTCCGGTGACCGTTACATCGACGGCATCAACCACTGGTCTGACAACTCTTCCACCCGGACCCAGTGGTGGTCCCTCGACGGTTGTCACTTTTGTAACCCTTCCGGCGAGCCCTCTTCCTCCTGTGACCGTAACATCAATAGCCTCAACCACTGGTCTAACAACTCTACCTCCTGGGCCAAGCGGTGGTCCTTCGACTGTCGTTACTTTCGTCACCCCCTCCGCGAGTCCTCTTCCTCCTGTGACGGTTACATCAACGGCATCAACTACGGGGTTGACTACTCTCCCTCCTGGTCCCAACGGTGGCCCTACAACGGTCGTTACCTTTGTAACTCCTCCAGCAAGCCCGCTTCCTCCTGTAACCGTTACATCAACGGCATCAACTACGGGGTTGACTACTCTGCCTCCTGGCCCAAGCGGCGGTGCCACCACAGTTGTGACATTTATTACTCCGTCCGCTCCTCTTACGCCAGTCACTGTCACATCAACAGCTTCAACTACCGGCCTAACGACCATCCCTCCCGGCCCTAGCGGAGGCCCTTCTACAGTTGTTACTTTCGTTACTCCGTCCGAGCCCCTTACGCCAGTGACTGTAACCTCTACTGGAAGCGTAACTGGATTAACGACACTCCCTCCTGGCCCAAGTGGTGGACCGTCCACTGTTGTCACTTTCGTACCTCGCGTCACTGGCTTTTTGATCACTTTCACATCTACTACTACGCAGACGGGACTTACCACTATTATTCCAACGGATCCAGCTGGCACTACGAGCGTCATCACATTCGTCACGCCCAGCGCTCCCCTGACGCCAGTCACAGTGACTTCAACCGGAAGCGTGACCGGGCTAACGACACTGGCTCCTGGACCCAGCGGCGGCCCTTCTACTGTGGTCACATTCGTGCCCTCAGTCACTGGTGGCTTGACAACTCTCACATCGACGGGCTCGCAAACTGGGCTCACCACCATCATCCCAACAGACCCTGCCGGCACTACGAGCATCATCACATTCGTCACACCCAGCGCAACTAGCACCAGCACCTCTACAAGCAGCAGCAGTTCGACTTCAACCACGATCGCCCCCGGACCAACTTACAATTGCGACGCTGGTGGCTATCTGATACAGGGTACTACTCTCTACCGACTGAATCTTACTACTGGCGTTCAGACTACCGTGGGTACTAATATTGGACCTGGTGGTACAATCAACGCTATTGGTTACAATGTTTTAGATAATTATATCTATGGTATTGTCCCTGTGAACGGCGTGAACCGCATTGTGCGCATCGCAAGCAACGGCCAAGCGGTTCTCATCGGTGGAGATCTACCATCCGGGAACTATAATGTCGGCGAGATCGATACACTCGGACGGTATTATGTTAGCATGAGCGGCGGTGTTTGGGCACAAATCGACATGAACCCGAACTCGGCGACGTTCACGCAGATACTCGCGACCGGTACTAGTACTATCGCTGACGGCGTGAGTGACTGGGTTTATGTGCCTGGAGGCGGAGATTACCTGTACAGTATTACAGGAGTCAATGCCAACGGTCGATTTTCACTGGCAAGATGGAGCAGAACAACTCATACGTGGTCAATTATACGGACGTACACGCGTATCTCGGGCAACGAAACCTTTGGAGCACTTTATGCTTCGAGCGGCAGCACGTTTTATGGCTCTGAAAATGTGAGTGGGAACATTTATAATTTCGACATCAACTCGGGCCAGCCGACTTTGGTCACTGATGGCCCTGTTTCGGCTGTCAACGACGGAGCTCGCTGCGTTTATGCGGCAGACCCATCGATCCTTACCACCACGGGCGTTTTGACGACTGTTGTCTCCACGGGCACGCGAACCGGTCTGACAACTTTACCTCAAACCAACCCGGCTGGCACGACTACCGTCATTACTTTTGTCACGCCTACCACTTCAAGCACAAGCACAACTTCTTCGACTTCGTCGTCTTCGACTTCGAGTACAGTGCCCTCTCAGACACCTCTTCCCTGTTCCAGATTCGGATATATCGTTGCTGGCAACCAGTTCTACCAGTTTGACCTCGTCACTGCCCAAACGACGCTGCTTACAGACAGCATTGTGTCTGGTACCGGTAGCATCAACGCTATTGGCTTCAACCCTGTTGACAATTACGTGTACGGGTCCCAAACCAATTTGAACCTTAATCTCATCAGGATTGGATCATCTGGAAATGGCACTGTGGTCCCCAACGTTCAACTACCGTTCAACACTTACATTGGCGACATCACTCCCGATGGCTCATATTGGATCGCTAGCGATACATATAACTCGGCAACTACGAGTTGGGCCCAAATTGACCTTTCTGACTCGTCCTCGCCTACCTTTGGCACCGTCATCTCGAATGGCAGTTTCCCGGACACTATTCGATTCGCTGACTGGGCCTATATTCCCGGTAATGGCAGTGCTCTCTACACACTCGCAGAATCGCGTAGTGACTCGTCATCGCCTCGTCTGATGAGATTCGACCTCCAGACCAAGACTATCACTCTCTTGCAGTCCTACCCACAGATCACCAGAGGACTGGCAACTTCGCTATTCGGCACCTCCGATGGGTATATGTACATTCTTGTTGCTGACGGCAACCTGTATAGGACCAAGATCACCAGCTCGTCTTCACTTGAGCTGGTCACCTCGAACTCGGTCGCTCAGGCTGGCGACGGCGCGAGGTGCATCAATTCGCCGTCGGACCCGTTACCTTCTTCGACGTCGTCCACTCAGTTACCCCCAGTCACTGTGACTTCAACTGGATCCGCAACCGGATTAACAACTCTGACTCCCGGTCCCAGTGGTGGTCCTTCAACTGTTGTCACTTTTGTGACTCCTTCAGCTACCCCCATCCCACCAGTAACCGTCACTTCAACTGGAACGGCAACCGGATTAACAACCCTTGCCCCTGGTCCCAGCGGTGGTCCTACTACTGTTGTGACTTTCCTTCCACCTGCTCTTACTACAGTCACCGTCACTTCAACCGGTACTACTACAGGACTTACAACAATTCCACAAAGCGGAACTGTGCCAGGCACCGTGATCACCCTCGCTTGCCGTACAGTAACACAAACGCAAACAATTTCGGCCAGCGGGACGTCGGGTACCCAAGCTTCCTTTGTTGTTCCTGCGTGCGCACGAACCGCGCAATTCAGGATCAAAGGCGGTGATGGTGGTGAAGGTGGTCGACAATCAGGTGTTGGTGAACTTATTTCTGGGAATTTCGTCGTCACACCCGGTCAGACATATGTCCTCATTGCTGGCGGCGCGGGAGGTACCAACATCCAGGGAACCAGTGCATACGGCAACGGTGGTACAGCGACTACTGGTGGTGGCGGCGGTGGTGGAGCATCTGCAATCCTCAATGGGGGTGCGGAAGTTGTCATTGCTGGTGGAGGAGGTGGCGGGGATAATTATTACTTTCAATATCCCACTGATGGACGGCCAAACACAGTCAGAATCAACTCCGATGACAACAGAGGTCACGGCGGCTCTCCAGGACAAGAAGGCGTTGGCAGATATACAGTTGACGACGCGAATACTGGCGTCACTGGCTATTACAACGTCGCCCGAGGTGGTGGTGGAGCTACAGCGAATGGACCAGGCGCTGCTGGAGTGGCTGGCGGTACCACCAGTTCCTCAGCCAACGGCAACGCCGGATCTGGGCACAACGGTGGCGCAGGTATTGCTACTCGAAACTCGGGAGCTGATGGGACTGGAGGATCTGGGGGCGGCGGTGGTGGTTACCATGGTGGTGGCAGTGGAAGCGTCTTGGACTGGACCTACGGTAACAATCGCGTCACTTTTGGCGGTGGTGGCGGCGGTGGCTCCAGCTTTGTCCGATCCGGTGTCACTGTCAGTAGTCGAAGTATCACAGGTGGTACCGGGAGTGTTGAGCTTGTTTTCACTTCTTAGGTACCAATGATGGAGATCGAAGGAGATATTAACATGTGCCCGCCGGGCCACGGAAAGATTGTAATTTCCTTTGTACTGCTTGAATGTAGAATCAGGTTTTAATCAGTAGTCATTTTATCTTTATTGAGCTTGTAATCGGTTCCCATTGGCGAGAATGCGGCATTGAACGTTGTAAATGGTATCGGGACATCACGGATGACAACTGTAAGGTTGAAACAGGCGAGTTTGGGTACATGTACTCTGCGGGCCCTCAGGCGGAGGTCTATCGGGAGGCAGTATCTATGTTTTCGGTGGAAACAGCAGCAATGGCACCGACAGCGGAAATAAGGTAGCGTCTCCCCCTCTTTGCGGCACTCCCCGGTCCGATACGGCGCGTCAGGTGCCGGAGGCGGAGGTTACTTCGGGGTTGGCAGCGGTGCATCTGTGTATTGGAATTTGGCGGCGACTACTACTCCGTACTCCGTACGTACATTTTCGGAGCTGGCGATCGTGGTGGGTCGAGCTCATACTTAAGGGAAATAATCCTACCCTCGATATCAGATGGCGTAACATTATAGCCGAACAACGCGTAAGTGGTTTCTTTTGTTAAGACGTTTCTGGATTTCCCATTTGATTCTCTCATTTATTCAGTATGCGATACGCATTTATGTGTGTCTTGTTCTCTTTTGAACAGACACCTGAGCATAGTGGCCATCAGAATATCGCTTCCCTTTCACATCCATGCGACTACTTGTCCCTATGCCACTGCTGCCATAGGGTGAAAGGAAATCACCACTATCACGATCGCGCATGCAGATGATGCATATTGCTGAATGGGAAACACTTGGCTGCCAATATGAAGCTTACGCGCCTGTGATTATAAGTCACAAAGCCTCATTGGGCTTTTAGTACGAAACCAAGTCGCAAAGTCTTCCGGCTCTGACATCTCGCCATTCTCTGGCTTACCAGCCATCCGGCGGACGAGCGGGATCTTGTATCGTTGGCACGGACGTCGTTGAGAAAGAAAAAAAAGCACACGAAAAAAGCGCGAATAGTCGCGCGAGTCGCTCCCTCTGCCGAGCATGCACTGGGGTTCCTCGCCGATACTTTCACACTAAACTAGCATCCGCAATGGGTCCCGCTGCAAGAAAACCGTTGAAAAAGTCTGCGTCATCGGCGAATTGCAATTAATGAATTGGCAGGCAACATCTCGGGGGTTCTACTTTGATCATCGATCTCTATGAAATCTCTGTAGACTCTTCTCCGTGAGAGACTCAGGTGACTGAGCGTCGGGTCTGACCCACGATATCCATAGTGCAGGTGGACCGAGGAGAATAGAGGAAGTTCGGCTGCGGTAGGCTGTGCTTGGCGCTAGCAGCGTTTTTCATCATCGCCAGCGGAGGTAGCCCCGGAAGACTTTCCATGAGACACGTTGATTACCTGTTGTCTCTCGGGAACATTGACCCGATCGCCGATGGGAATCTGATGTGTGGGTGTTGATGGTAAAAACATTAGATTACCCTCCCAATGTCCTACATCGGCACAATGTTGAAATCCCAGAGTGCTGTCTGCGACTTCGGCTGCGAGCAATGTCGTGTGGCTCTCTTCTCACGAATGAACCAACTGACATTTCCCCGCGGATTATTGGATACAGATGCGAGTAAGATACAGGTTGCACTGGATTGAGTCCACTCCAGAACCCCAGCGATTCTCTCCAGGCCCCAGGTAAGGAACCCCATAGGGAGTTCTGGCGGGGTTGGAGCCTCTGTGAGGGGCTCGGAGGAGCAAGATAAATAGTGGCGAGTCAGGCGGTTGCATTGTACTGCATCCAGTCCAGTTTTCTCGTATGATGGAGGAAACTCAGTCATTCTTTACCCAGCGTTGAACCCGCGATGTTGTACAAGGGCGGTGAAGGTACGTTCGTTTCGACATCGGGAATCGAGATGTTGAATCGGCTCGGTTGTCACTGTTGAATCGGGGCATGCTGAATCACAAGACTTGGATTCTCTGGACCAGCCTCAAATAGAGCGCCATGTGAGGCATCAAGTTGTAGTATTACGCTTTTGATAACAATTGAAATACTCGCATATTCTAAACTCTCAGAGCCAAAAGAAGCCATCCAGTTCCTGCTCCTGCATCTTTCGATAAGTAAAAGAAAGGCATAAACATGTCCGTTTGTGTAGTTGCTGTACCCATTTCTGTGCCCGTTTCCCAGATAGACCACTTTCATACAACTCCGTCTCATCCGTTCCCTGAACCAGCCCCCAGAACCCATTTCATTCTCCGTAAAAGCAATCAGGTCAAGATACTAGTAGTATCTCGTGATGATATTATTTTTTGAACTCCAGATCGCCCGTGGTAAACCGCTCGAACTTGACTCTATTGGGGTCGACGCCTTGGTTGATCAGGAATTGTGACATCTCAACCATGAAAATCTCAGGACCGCAGATGTAGTACTCTGCGCCACCATGGCTGAGGTAGAGCTCTTCAGGTGCTATCCTCGCAAGGTCCATGCGGAGACCAAAGTCGCTGGAGGAGGAGAGAGAGTCATCATCTTCGACATCGGCAATCTGGGAACGGAAAAACTTGGTGATGAAGTTGGCGCGGCTGTAAGCGATCTTGCGGATATGTTCTTCGAAGGGGGCTGCTCGAGCCGAGCAGTGAATCCATGAGATAGGACGGATAGCCTGGCGCTCGATGATGGTGTTGCAGATGGACATGAGAGGCGTGACGCCGACACCAGCGGAGATGAGAACGACGGGAAGAGTGCCAGCGGCGTGGGTGTCAAAGAAAAAGTCGCCGGTAGGATGCGTCAGCTCGACGATGTCGCCCGGTCTCTTCTCATCGATGAGATGGTTGGAGAAGACACCGGGGTTGAGGTTGAAGGTGGCGGCGCCCTTGCCAACCTTGACGCCTTGGTCACGCTTAACGGTGATGCGGTAATAATCCGGTCGTGGTGAGTCACTGAGCGAGTACTGTCGTGACTGATAGTGGCCGAGCTCAGGGATTGTGACGCGGATCGAGGTGTATTGACCCGGGTAGAAGTCAGGTAGTCGTTTGCCGTCGACAGGCACCATGTAGAAGGAGAAGATGTCGTCCGTTTCGGCAACCTTTCTTTCGATGCGGAACTTGCGCCACCCCTTCCACTTGTCGTCGTCGAATTCGCGATACATCTGGGCCTCGCGGCCGATGAGCATCTTTGCGAGGATCCAGTAGGCCTTTGTCCAGGCCTCGCGGATCTCCGTGGTCATGGCGGGACCTAGGACTTGTCCAAAGGCTTGGATGAGGTACTTTCCCACGATGTCATAGTGTTCCGGTAGAATTCCAAGGGAGCAGTGCTTGTTACACATGCGCTCCAGCTTGGGGATGAGCTCGCTGATGTGGTTGAGGTTTGCGGCGAAGGAGAGGATGACGCCCGTCAAGGCGCGGGGCTGGCGGCCGTTGGCCTGGTTGACCTTGTTGAAGTGGTCATGAAGTTCAGGATGAGCTCGGAGCATGTTGGCATAAAATATGGTCGTGATGGTCTCGCCGTGCTCGCGGAGAGCCGGGATCGTACCCCTGACGAGTTGTGATTGCTTGTATGTCAAAGCCATGGCCGTGGTGGTTTTGTATGAAGAATTTGTTGCTTAGCTTCTGCTTGAGAATACTGTTCTCTAGTCCTTGGCGAATGGTGGATAATTTGAAAGCCAAAAAATGGGAAACCTGATGTTCTCAAGCAGGTAATTCTCGTGCCCAGATATGGGATCAAGGATGGATATCTGGGGGCAGACCGGAACGGGGATGAATGTTAAAGGGGGTATCAACAGAAATGCACAAACGCTACGGATAAATGGGTAAACGTCTGAGTGATAGAAGGGGAGCCGATTCCAAGGGTTTGGGAACACAAATGCAGACGTCTTTCTCGCCGCCGGGTTCGGGCCTCGGAGGAAAGATATAGAAACCTTCAACTCCAGCCCAAGATGTCTTCGTATAGAACCACTCCGACGGACACGAAGCTCGATCCTGTCTCACCCCTCCCCCTCGTCGTGCTACATCGGCGCGTGCGCTCGAGTCTTCGCGCTCTGCATCCTTTCAATCAGCCACCGCTCGTCTCGACGGATAGACATCGTATGATTTGTATGCCGTAGTGTAAAAAGAAAGCTGGTTCCTCATTTGAACGCGGCTCTCGTGGGCCACACATGCATGGATCCAAGGGTGAGATTCCATGGAGAAAGACGCTGGGCGCCGTTGATGGTAAATCCAGGGAACAGCACCAATGGTAGCTAGTCGTTCGCGATGAACCGAGGAGCGGTTCAAAGTCAGCCCTGTCCGTCGCCGGGTGGTACAAGGCCGGGAATCCAGGGATACCAGGATCTCAGGGAGGCACCAGCAGGGGTATCGACTGGACCCTGAGGGTGACCCGAAGCCTCTCCAGTGGGACCCCGCCCGTGAGCTGCCGAGCAAACCGAAGCAACGAGGAGCTCCGGACGGTCTTCTAGAAGTGCGCTAAGAGGCGGGTTTATGGCGGGTATTCCGCACAATTGTTGCTGCATGCAGGCCGAGCTGCCTCGAGGGGAATAAAATGGAGGTCTCTAGTAGTACCCCGTAGCTTTGCAGAGTGGTGGTACGCGGTCTTATTATCCAGTCTGTCAGGTACAAACGGGCGCATGGATTTGCCCAAATCCTTCTGTTCATAGGGGCTGGAGTAAGGTAAACGTAGAAACTGAGCATTCGGACAGAAAACCCCGGGCTGCGATGGAGGCGGCGGTTGGAGGTGACTCTGAGTCTGAGTTTGAGTCTGCAGTCTTTTAGCTTGTCCCTTGTTCCTGACAGACGTCAGCGACACGCGATGTACAGTGGAGTAGAGAACACGCCACAGCAAGGAATTGCCGAGTTGCAATTGCAAACTCGTATGATGAGATTTGCGGTTTCCGGAATGCCTAATTGGGGGTCCACGGGGCTTCGCCCAATGGTCCCAATATTGATCCTTGAAAGTACTCTGATGCCATGCAAGGCTTTGCTTGGGGTGACAGCGAGAAATG